CCTGAAAATCATGATTTATAATCAGGGGGGAAAAAAAAGCAATAACCCTTTTATGGTTTGCAGAGTTCATACATATTTATGTTGTGGTTTGAGAGAGTCAATAAATAACATCTCCCTTTCCTTCTATGTCCAGAATCAGTTAAGAGATGGATGCAGAAGATGGGCAGATGGTGCCTTCATTACTGATGTAGTTACTGGAGAACAAGGCCTTAAGTCTGATTGTCTAGGGGCTCATTACTATTAATAATTTGCTCACAGTCCTAGAACTGGGCAAAAGAGGCTATTGTGAACTTTAAGCCTAGAAGAAAGGAGTCAGGTGTCCTGTTGATGTTTAAGTTCCCAGAAAGTGAGAAAAAAGAGGCCGTTTATGATCAGTGCCCTTCCCCCACCATTAGATAAATTATTACTCATCCTCTGGGATAAGTTAGCAAGGGGTGGGAAGAGGATAGTGTTCAGGAATAATTAACCTAGCAAATTCACATGGAAGTGAGGAGGAATACTGTTTTTTTCTAACACTATATTTTAGAGCAAAATATAGGATATTGTATATAAAGTAACTGGGGGAGCTGGAGAAATAAATACACTTTCCCATGTAATAGTAAGGTGGAGCCCTTGGGAAGACATCTGAACAGAGGGTAACTCTATTTGTTACCCTCTGTTCAGTACTCAGCATGTCACACAGTCTTCAGTAGTAATGATTTGCATGTCATGAGTCTTTTCCCATTCTCATAATCTATTGTGCAGGGTATCTCTGCTGCCAGACGTCAAACCTGCTCACCAGACTATTTAGATCCTGGCTGCAGGTTTTAGATAAGCATTAACACCATGCAATTTACTGTACCCACTTTGCATTAGTAGTAGGTGTGGCCATATGTTAATAAATATGAAAATTTACTAGTATTAACATCAGTACAAACTCATATTAAAACATTTATAGTATATGCTAGCTAGTATAACATTAATACTATTACAGTGCTATATATTATAGTAACATAGTGTTGATTCAACCGATATTATTAAGGTTCTGTTGATGGTGGATGATGTCAGAAATTAACGAAAAGTCTCTGTGTTCCAGACAGCAGGCCAGCAGCATGAAGGTTTGTGGTGAGAAGGAGCGTGTTGCATTTATGGAACCAGTATTGTGCCAGATGGCCTGAATACAAAGGAGAGGGAGAGGTGGTCAGGTGCTAGGCTTTGTAGGGCTGTGTTAATAAGGCCATTGGCTTTTAAGAGCAGTGAGAAGACTTAAGGGATTTTAAACAGATTAGCACTATTAGGACTTCATGCAAGATCATTCTGATGTGGTGAGAATGGATTTGAAGGGGATGCAGCATGGATGTGGCTTAGGAGGCTGTTGCAGTACTCTAGGCTAGGGGTGATGTTGGCTTGTAGCAACATGGCAGTGGAAATGGAAAAGTGGAAGGATTGAAGATGTTTCAGAGGTAGTGTTGATGGAAGTTGCAATGGTTGGTATTGGATGGAATGCGAGAGAGAAAATGGTTTGAATTGTTTTGAGGTTTCTGCCTTAGGCAGCTTCATGAATTACGAGCCCCCTGACTACCATTGGGATCACTGGGAGAGGAATAAATTTGTAGGAGATAGAACTTGACTTCACTCTTGGACATACTGAATTGAAGCATTTTGATTAGAATGTCTTGTGGCTAGTAAGTTATGTGGGTCTGGAACTCAAAGAGGTTTGAATGAGAGACGTGGTTGAGATGGTTAGCATGGATGATTTGAAGTTGTAGATGTGGGTGAGATTGTTTAGGGAATTGTTTCTCAACTTAAACTGCATATTGCAATCACTTGGACTTTGAAGAAATACCGTCTACCCCAAAGATTCTTAATTAATCTAGAGTAAAGTTTGGGCATTGGGCTTTTAGAAGGCCCACAGATAATACCAATGTGCTGTCAAGGTTGAGACCCACTGTCTAGTGAGAGCATAGGCTGAGATTAGAAGAGGAACTGGGATTGAGCCTAGAGGAACAGATAGTTAATGGCCAACTAGAGAAGGCTGAACCTGCACAGGAGAGGTGACCAGAGAGGTAGGATGAAGACTTTTGATGTCATAGAAGTAAGTCAAGGCATGGCCAGCAGTGTCTGTTGCTGTTAACAAGCCAGTTGTAATGGAATTTGGATTTAGCAATATGGACGTAGTTTATTTACCAGAGAGAGCTGTCAGTGGGAAGCTTGGGACAGAAGCTTGTCAGATGGGATTGAAAAACATGAGAAAATGGAGACGCCTAGCATCGGCGGCTTTTAAAGGTGTTAGGGAGAGAGATGGAGTGTGGAGCCTAAGAGCTGTGCCATTGGATTAGGATGTTTTGGCTGCAGGTAACAAATGATTTGGCTTAAATGGTGAAGAAAACTTCACTTCTTTCAGGAGTTCCAGAAGAAGGTGGCTCTGGGCTACGTATTTAGAGACTCAACAGTGTTGTCAGAGACCTAGGTTTTTCCAGCCTCCGTGTGCAACTTGGCCTTCAGGATGCCCCCTCAGGACTGTAATTTAGACATCGCCAGCAAAAGGACATCTTTGTCTTGTAATCTTTTTTCCCAATCTTAATACATGTACTGAGAAGTATACAAATCTTAAGTGTACAGGCTGAATTTTCTGAAATCAAACAACTATAACCACACAGATCACAACCCCAGTGCCATGGAAGTTCCTCATTCCAGTCACTACCTGCCTCCTCCCCCAGGGTAACTACTGTCCTGACTTCCATAGGTTAAAGTTGCCTGTTTTTCTGTGCAATTTAAATGGAATGATATGCTACATGCTCTTTTATGCTTGGCTTTCAGCATTGTTTTTGATATCTGTATTATTGCATGTAGTTGTTAAGTGTTCATCTATTGCATGAATATACCACATTTTATCCATTCTGTTGTTGAGGGGCATTTGAGTAGTTTCCAGTATTTGGCTTTTACAGATAGTGTTGTTGTGAACATATGTATTCATTTCTGTTGAGTGTGTAATCAAGGAGTGGAATTGTTGGGACAGAGGGTGTGCTTATATTGAATTTTAATATTACTTTAGTTGTATCATTTTACACTCTTACCAGAAGTGGATGAGAGTTTCTGGGAGTTTTAGTTCCATGCCCTCACAAACACTTATTATTTTACATCTTCCACTTTAGACATTTTGGTGGTATGGCACTGTAATTTTAATTTGCATTTCCATAAATTGATTAAGGATATTTCAGTTGAGCATCTTTTGATATAGTCATTGACCATTTGGATATTCTCTTCTGTGAAGTGCCTATTTAAGTCCTTTGTTATTTTTCCCTTGAGTTGAATGTCTTATTCAATTTGTAGGAGTTTTTTGCTTGTTTTGTGTTCTGAGTATGAGTCATTTGTCAGACGTATGTATTGCAAATATCTTCTCAGACTCTATGGCTTTCTTTTTCACTATTGATGTTTTCTTTTTACAAACAAATTACTAATTTTAGTGTAGTACAGTTTATCAATTTTCTCCTTTATATATTAATAAGTGGTTTATGTGTTCTGTTTATAATTTTTGCCTACACTAAGGTTACCAAAATTATATTTCTTCTACAAGTTTGATTGTTTAACTGTGATATTTAGCTCTGCAGTCCATCTGGACTTGGTTTCTGTTTTTACTGTAAGGTAGGGTTCAAGATTCGTATGAATGTCTAAACGATCCAGCACCATTTATTAAAAGAGTATATTTTCTCCATGCACTGCGGTATCACTTTTGTCATAAATTAGGTGATTATGTGTAAGGGTCCATTTCTGGTTTCTCTATTTAAGGGGTCTTCAAACTTTAAACAGGGGGCCAGTTCACTGTCCCTCAGACTGTTGGAGGGCCGGACTATAGTTTTAACAAAACTATGAACAAATTCCTATGCACACTGCACATATCTTATTTTGAAGTAAAAAAACAAACGGGCAAAAACACCCGCATGTGGCCCACGGGCCATAGTTTGAGGACGCCTGCTATATTTTGTCCTATTGGTCAGGCTGTCTACCCTTACATATCTGTATCTTTTAGTAGGTATATTGATATATGGTAGCATAAGTTACGTATTTTTGTTCTTCCTTGTAATCTCTTTTTAAGAGTGATGAATTAGTATGCATGAAAATATGAAATGGCGAACCAGCAAAGCTTAAGCTAGGTAAATAGGAAAGTAAAAAAAAGAAAGTGGATAAATCAGTGAGTTGGGCACCTTAAGGAGACAGTCAGAATAGTTGAACAAGTAAGATGGATCATGGGGGAAGAGTTGGACTCCTGAATTAGTGATTTTGGAGTTCAGACAGTTTTGAGCAGTGCTAAATTGCCCAGGGGTGTGGTGGTAGATACGTGGCTAAGTTGGGGTAGAGGAGGTCATTGAAGATACAGGAGCCAGGAAACTGAGAGACTAGGGTATGATCTGTTAGTACTTGACATTGTAAAAAGTATATTTTCTAATGTATCTAATTTAGTGTCTGCCTTAAAACAGGTGGAATAGACTTATTATCTTTACTTTATGGATTAGAAAGTGAGCCCAGAGAGGTTATAACTTCCTAAAGGCCCTAAGAGAATGAGTGATTGAGTTAGACCTAACCCAGGTCTCATGTCCCAGCTTCCGTGCTCTGTTCCATAGAGCTTAGCTGGTGTGTTGTGTGAAAGACCTGGGAGTTATATTTTTTAGATCAGAATTCTTACTGACATGCAGAAATTGTGCAAAAACCCATACAAATAATAAGTTATTCATAGATAAGATATTGATAAGTTATGTGAACTATTTAATACTCCAGAAGTATTAAATATAGTTATTCCTGGGTAGTTGTGATTGTGACTCTGGGTGACTTTTTCACTTTGTTTTACTTTTCTGTATTTTCCAAATTTCCTATAATGGACGTATATTTTATGGATTTTCAAAAATTAAAAAAAATTTTTTTTGATGATTATGGCCAGGGACAATTCATAAGGGAGTATGTAATACTTTTACAATAAAAGAATGAAAATGTTTAAATATTTTATTTCTTGTTTTTCTTTTTAGAAATGCCCTTGGTGATGGAAAGAGAGCCACCATTCTGAAGAGCACTTGGCCAAAGGTAGGTTTCTTTATTTCACGTTGAGCAAATAATGCCATACAACTTTGTGAAAAACCTGTTTACAGGTTGTGTTTGTTTGTAAAAATGCCATGTGAAATTATGCAGAGCTCAAGAATATGAAGGGGGAATCTTCAGTTTCACAGTCAGCACAGGGATTCAGCCACAGGGAGGCGTGTGTGCATGAGGAGCAAGGCCAGTCTTGAGAGGTCTTGAGGGTGCCTTAGTGGTAGAGAGGTTCCCTTTGCACATTCTGGGTAGATGTGTCTGAGTGTGAAAAGTGAAATTAAGAACTTGGAAGACACAAATCAGCAGTGAAAACAATCACCTTGATATATTTGACTATATCAAACTTAGAAAGTACTGTATGTCAAAGGACACCATGATTTATTAGTAGTTTGAGAGGAGATAATTTGTCACATATATAACTGATAGGATTTATATCCAGAACATGCAAAGAACTCCTAAAATAAATAAACCCAGTAGAAAATGGGCCAATAAGACAAATAGGCATTTCATAAAAGAGTAATCCTGAATGGCCAATAGAAATAAGAAACTGTCTTACTTTCTGGTAATTAAACTTTTAAGGTATTGGTACAGATATAGAAAAATGAAACTAATGGAGCAGAATAAAGGGTCTCCACACAGACCCACATATACATGAGTAAATAACACAACGTGATACTGTTTGGGTCCTTCAGATGGGGAAGAATTAGTGAGACCAGTAGTCCTCAGTGTTGGTGGGTGTGTGTAGTAACAGGAACCTTCAATAAATTGGTGGGAGTGTGAATCATTTAAAACCAACTTGGAGAGCACTATGATGTACATACCCCATAAGTACTTGATTCTAAGTATGTGTACCCTAGAAAACTTCTTGTGTATGTGTAAATGGTGAGATATAAAGATTGGTCATTGCAACATTGTTTTAATGGCATAGCACTGCAAATACCTGTCCATTGATAAAGCAGCAGATGAATGTAGTGTTTTCACTTGCTTAAAGTTGTTACTTAGATCTTTCTGATCTTGAACATCCATTATTTCTCTGACTTCACTCCTGCTGCTCTCTCCTTGGTTCACTTTATGTTGGCCCCTTGGCGTCCTCACTGTTCTGCAAATATACCAGGCCCACTTCCACCTTGTACTTGCGCTTCACACTAGAACTAGCTCTTCCCTAGAATGCTCTTCCCCACAGCATTGACCAGCTTCCTTACTTCCTTTCTTTCTTTATTACAAGTCCTGTTCTCAGTGAAATCTTCCCTGGCCACATTCTAAAATGTCGCACCTAGACATTTCCTATCTTCTTTCCCTGTTTTACTTTTTTTCCTCTTAGCGCTTATTATTGAGCATACAATGTATAACATTTGAGTTATATTGTTTATTGTGTCTTCCCAGTATAATGTGAGCTTCACAAAGGAAACGTTTTTTAGTCTGTTTGGTTCACTTTTGAAGACAGACTGCCTGACACTTAGCAGGACTCAACAGTAAATGTTTGTTGACTTAGTGAATGAATGAATGAATCAAATACTAGATTGCAGATGAAATGAATTAAGTGGCTTATCAACACTTACAGATTTTAAAAAACTGTCATATGAAAAAATCAGTAAAGGCATAACATAGGCTTTTAATAGGTGTAGATACAGATCAGAATACTCACCAAACTTATGGTGGTGGTTGCTTCTGGGCAGTGAGAGAGGAAGAGGAGATTGGAGACAGGTATAAAGGAGATTTTCACTATATCTGTATAGTTTTGTTTCTTTTATCAAAAAAAGAATCCAAAACAAATATAACAAAATGTTAACAGTTAATTCTGGGTGTTTTATTAGTCTCTGTATTTCCCTAAATCATAAAAATCTTCAAAATTTTTAAAAAGAGTTTGAAATAAGACACAGAAAGATGTGTGTTTCATAATTCATTCCTGGTTTTATATAATTTGTTTTTAAAACTAAAGTGAGTAGAATCATAGAATCTTAAGGCCTTAGAGAATTTAATCTCATCTGTTACTTTGGCTTCTGCTCTGTGGATAGATTTCATTAGATTAATTGTAGGCGTTAATTTTATTTTGTTTAATGTTTTTTAAAAATGAACTTTTTCTTTATATTATAAACAGCATGTGATAAAACAGAAAAACAGAGTACAGAAGGGTATAAAAGGAAAAAAAGCCTGGCGATCTTTTAAAAAGATAGATTTCTTTGCCTTTCCTCCCAAAATTGTGATTCAAGTTGCCTAGGAGTGTATTTAGGAGTATGGAGATTGTAAAATTCCCCAGGTGGACTTCTGCATCCAAATTTTGGAATCATTTTTTAAATGCCTCATTTTACCCGTGACAAAATTGAGTCCCAGAGAGGTAAAATGACTTTGGTGAGGTGTTATGGCAAATAAAAGACAAAAGTGGATTTAGAATCTCACAGTGGATGGTGCTTCTGTTTGAGGGTGATCAGTTTGTTGCTGGTTTTTTTTTTTTTTTTTTTTAATGAGTCATTCTTTTGCCTAACAAAATCTTTGGTGATTACTGAACCTGGCATTTGGCAAGGCTTCTATCATATTTGTAGAATAAATGAAAGATAGAATTCCAAATACTGAAATCCAGACCACGGTCCTGGCTTTCCAAAGATACCTTGTGTTATTTAATCATTATCAATTTAAAAAAATATTAAGACTTTCTGAATTATTTTGAAGACTTTATGGAGAATGTTTGTTCCTGGCTTATTTTCTCAAACACAAAATAAATTATTTATTCTTTTTTTTTATTGGGATGTTTTATGATGTGTTATATAATTACAAAAATATTTGTGTCAATAAAAACACGCAACCACTAGTAAGTATTCAAAAAATGTGGCAACTATGTTACTAGGTTATTTTTCCTTTTACCAGAAAGGACTGCTCATTGAAGATAGTTTAAACTTCAGAAGCAAAAGTAAATCGTGCAAGGTGTATTCTTTACTTTTATGAGAATTGTTCAACTTTAGAATTAATTATGAGCCTGAGTCCTTGGAGTCATGCCTTTAAGATATAAACCTGTAGAGGAAGGTACTCTGTAGATTTCTGTTCAAGGTGGGCCTTTTTTCCCCTTCTTTCCCAATAGAGAAGACTGGTACAGTGTTGTCTGTCTCTAGACTTACTGTTAGGCTTTAGAGAGAGTGAGTCATTTGTCCTAAAGAATGAGAATTTTTATGGTGGAGTCAACAAATAATTGTGGACATGTCTGGTGCATTGCTTTTTGATGTACGTTATACAGGATACAAACCAATAGCCTCAAATATCCTCAAGAACCTTTTAATTTTGAAGGGTATATTAGGACTCTTTTGTTTGTGAATGAAAGAAACCTAACTCAGATTTAGTGTAGGTCAAAAAGGGAATTTATTAGCTCATGTAATTGAAAAGTCTAGGGGTTAGCTTTAGGCATAGTTGGATCCACATCTGTACACATTGTTCTGTTTCTCAGCTTTGCTTTCCTGTTTGTCAGCTTCATGTTTAGTCTTTTTTTCCCCTCACTTCTCTCTCTACATTTCATTTTACATGGGTTTTGTTGCTATGTCCTCAGGTTCACTCATCTTTTCTTCTGCAGTATCTAATCTGCCTTTATTTCTATCCAATATATTTTTCATCTTAAATGCTATAGTTTTTATCTCTAGAAGTTAAATTTGGATCTTTTATATATTTCATGTTTTTATTTAATATGTTCAGTCTTTCCTTTGGCTTCTTGAACATATGGGATATAATTATAGTAACTGTTTTAATGTCCTTGTGTACTAATTCTATCATCTGTGTCATTTATGAGTTGTTTTCAATTGATTGATTTTTCTCTTCATTACAGCTATATTTTCCTTTGTTTTTGACTGGATGCCACACATTGTGAATTTTACCTTTTTTGGTGCTATATATTTTTCTGTAAATATTTTTGAGCTTTGTTTTGGGTGCAGTACAGTTATTTGGAAACAATTTAATTCTTTGGGATCTTGTTTTCAGCTTGATAGGTGGGACCATAGTGGCTTTTAGTCTAGGGTTAATTTTCCCCCCACTGCTGAGACAAAACTTTTCTGAGTACTCTACTCAATGCCACATGAATCATGATGTTTTCTATGCTGGTTGGTGGGAACAGGAATTATTCCTGGTTCTGTGTGAGTTCCCTGTTAGTCTTTCAGGTGGTTCTTTCTTTGGCCATGAGTAGTTGCCCCACATTCCTGTGCTGATCAGCATTCAGCTGAAAACTCAAGGGGGACCCACTGTAGTTCTCTGGAATTCTCTGTCTCTGCAGCTCTCTCCTTTCTGGTCCTCTGCCCTGTGAACTCGAGCTGCCTTGGTTCCCTGAACTCCTAGCTCCCTCTCCTTAACTGAGAGAGATTGCCAGTCTCTGCCTAGGTTCCTTCCTCTTGAGCTGTAACTTAGAAACTCAGTAAGCTGGAGCAGTCATAGGGCTTATTTTATGTGTTTCCCATCTCTTAGGGATCACATTTTGTTTCCTGATAATACAGTGGCTTGCAAGCCATAGTTTCATCTCTTTTGTTTTTTGTTTGTTTTAGGTAGGAGGGTAAATCCAGTCCCTGTTACTCCATCTTGGTCAGAAGTGGAAGTTAGAGCATAGGCTTTCTTGGCTTCGTTTTTAAAAAGACTTACCATGTAGTGGGAGCCTCAAACTGATATCCTCAATAGCTGTTAATTCCAGCAAAAAGAGAACCTCTCTTATTATCCATAAGTGAACCTAAGGGATGTTGTCTGAACCTCAGACTGATTCTGATTGAATCATGTGCCCACCTGTGGATCCATTGCTATGACCTGGGAAATGGTACATTTTGATTGGCCAGTCTCCTGGGCCACAGCCACTCTCCCTCCCTCCCATCCATTATTGGGAAGGGAGCACTAGAATGGACAGCCCTGCCATTACTGTGAGGAGTAGAGACATGATGGTTCCCAAGACGAGAGGATGCCAGGCAGATGAGCAGCAGGCAATGTCCATATATGTGATAGAGATTGAGATGGTGTCAAAGAAGAGCAAACCTTCGTAATTGGGTTTAAGAAACTCTCTGAAATACCTTTAATTTAAGCTTCATTGAAACAACTTCTTTTTCAACCAACAGAAGTTATACTGGGTTTCGTAGAATTTAGGGAAAAGGATTTTTTTAAAGTGAGGATAGGTGGGGGGGAAAAGAGAAGGAAATAAAGTATTCTCTACAAATTCAGCAGGTTTGGGTTTTGACCTGTCATTATTTCCCATGCTAGCTGTGTTTTTTATTTTTGCAGTTTCCTAAACTTTGAAGTTGACAAATGCTTAGGGCATAGGATTTGATCTTGTAGCATATCTGAGTGTTCCCTTTATCTTATACCTAAGTGTTAGGAAACACAGCCTTTAACCCTTTAAAGGAAAGTGGAATTTAACAAAATGCAGTCTGAATTGGGAGCTTTGATTTAAGCCTAGTCTGTCTAAAAAGACTCCAGAACTCATAGGTCCACATGGACCTTTAATTTTAAAAGGCTTATTAGGACCCTTCAAATGGTATACTTGAGCAGGTTTGTTTATGCATTGAACCTGCATAAACACATGCCCACATGATTGTTTCTGGTTTCTTTTAGTGAAAAGCTGATCTTTCATAAAAGAGTCACTTATATTTGATTATATATTTTCCCCTAGATTCTTATCGAATCAGAATGTTCTTTATAAAATGTATAGTAAAGAGGAAAGAGTTCTGGACCAGGTGTCATAAAATCATGTTCTTTGGTTTGCCTTTAAATAAGTGTGACATTAGGCTAGTTTCTAGCCTTTTTCTCTTATAAATCACCTCTCCAGTGGTACTATGCTTAAAATTGGTTTGTGAGTAGCTAGAAGAGGGGGCGATGATTGACTTAATCCCAGGGTTTGGTACTATTAGCTTTTTAGATTAAAAAGTTGATGTTTGATGTAGAAGATTTCTAAATTGTGTAAATGAAGCTAGCAGTGATTTTGGTTCTATAGCAAAAAAATAAAAAACCCTTATCATTAGAATTGAAAGTAAATCAGTAGTTTTTGGACTTTTTCTTAGAGCCGGAAAGTATACTTGGAGTAATAATAATTAAAAGCTGATTGAAGGGGAGAGAGATGGATGGAAGATCTAGCCTGAGTGCGTCCTTCATCTGTGCCTGTGCTCTCCAGAGATGGTGGAAAACTACCATACAAGCTGATCGTTCCTTCCCGCTCTCAAAATCTTTTGCTTTTTCCAAAATGTAGGGAATGTAATGACCTAGAGACATTGCCTTAAAATTTTTGGAAAAATTACTTAACAATGAATGACTTTTATACTTTATCTGGTACATAATACTATGTTTCATTCTGTATTAGTAAAACATAACAAAAGTTGGACTCTTTCCTGGGGTTCAAAATCTTATAAGCAAAAATATTAATCCTTAATTATTAAAAATTATTTACTTATTTATAACTTTTCACTTAGCTCATTAGGTCATTTTATTTCCTGAGGTATTAACATTTTTATTTTTCACTACTAGCGGCCTAATCTTATATTTTAAGCAATGAATCAGTTCTCAAGCAAAACATTTTTCCTTATCTGTTTTCTTTAACTTAAACATATTTTTGAGAAAAAAATAAATTTATCTTTTTGGAACAGGGCCATTATCGTTATTGTGATGCTCTTTCTATGCTGGGGGAATATGACTGGGCCCTGCAAGCAAACATAAAAGCTCAAAAACTCTGTAAAAATGACCCTGAGGGAATCAAGGATCTAATTCAGCAGCATGTAAAGTTACAAAAACAAATAGAAGACTTACAAGGTATTTCACCTAAAATTCTTTGGTTATAGTCAAATTCCCTTTAAAACTTTGGAAGGTGGGTTTCTTGGATAATGGAGGATCATAAATCAATTCTCAGATAATTTGCCCTTATTTTGTTTTGTTGGTCACGTCAGTTAAGTTTTTCATTTCTATTTGTGTAGAGTTATATTAATGTTATATTCCATTAGGTAATTTTAAATGATTTATAGTTTTTATTTGAAACAGACAGCAATCAAATTGTTATTATTTATTCTTCTGTAGAAAAATACCTTTTCCAGAAATTTTGAATAAAATAAAAGCTTTTTGAAACAAAATTGTTTAAAAATTTTTTCCTTCATTATTAAAGTTATTTCCTGAAGAAAAGGCCCTTTAGTAGAGTTGCTTAATGTTTTGCACCAACTTTGTGGCTAATTCTATCGTGTGCTGAACATGTATACATTTATTTTATATATTTAGCAGAAATTGACTGGGCAAGTGAGGAGTTGTAGATTTTCATTCTGCTGTTGTTTTTTTCTCTTTTAAGTCATTTTGCTTTTTCCAATGCTTGATATTCCCTTACTTTACATTTTTAGTGTATAGATCTTTCCTGTTTTTTCTTCTTTGGGTATTAGTGTATTATGGAGCTGAGCTGAACAATTCTATTGCCCTGGTGGATGTTGTCATCCAACATAACATGATTATAAAATTGTGAGCTCCTTGTGAGCTCCTTGAAGACCGGTACCATCTCTGATTCAAATTTATGTATTGCTGTCACCTTGTCAGTGATGATATGTAATAGAATGTCTGACAAGGTTTGTGTAACTTCTTGTTGACACCATCCTAAACTAAAGACATCTAGAAATATAAAAGGGCTTAGGTTTACTTTTTAGCGTTCTAAATTTGATGTTCTTAAAGTCAGCTTAAAGGAAATTTGAAAATCTTTTGAAGTCTTTGTTGCCAACCATTGATCACTCTGTGTGTGTGATTGACTTTTATAGGTCGAACACCATATAAGAATCCAATTAAAGCGTTTTATGAAAGTAGGTGAGTTAATAGCAGGTCAGTAGCTGCTTCTTGGAATAGCTTTGCCCCATGAATTAAGAATCACTTGTATTTGATGCTTTAAGCTAAAGTTGGGATGGAAGGAAGAGAGGTAGTTCATGTTTAAGATCAGGTTACCTGCAAGTTGTCAGATTTATGTTGCTGACTGTTTTACTGAACCTTTTGGATATGTACATATTGGAGATCAGTAGCCAAAGTCTATGGGAAAAGAGAGCTGATGTGTTAATTGAACATTACTGTGCTTTAATGGGACCAGTTCGGCCACAAGGGTCCTGGCAGCAGAGAGCTGGGACATAGCCTGTGTCTTGTGCCCTTCACCTCTGTCCTGGAAACATCTACTTCCAGCCTTCTGATGTCATTCAAAGGCTAAGATACTTCCTGTTAAAAATGGGCAACAGATAGACTTAAGTATGCTCACAAGAAAACAAATAGTAGGATAGGCATGGTGGCTCACACCTGTAATTCTGGCACTCTGGAAGGCCGAGGTGGAAGGATTGCCTGAGGTCAGGAGTTCAAGGCCAGCCTGAGCAAGAGCAAGACCCTGTCTCTGTGAAAAATACAAAAATTAGCTGATCATCATGGTGTGCACCTGTAGTCTCAGCTACTTGGAAGGCTGAGGCAAGAGGGTCACTTGAGCCCAGGAGTTTGAGGTTGCAGTGAGCTGTGATGATGCCACTGCACTCTACCCAGGGTGAGAGAATGAGACTGTGTCTCAAATAATCCAAAAGTAGCCAGTATTCTACCTTTGCTTATTTGGCAATTAAAATAGATTACGATTTTTTTCACATGTTTGTTTAGTTGCCAACGATATTGAAGCTACTAATTCTGTAGAGTGCTGAACATACAGATATATATATCTATATATAGAGTACAGAAATTGGCTGTGCAGGCTTTAATTTAAATATTATTTAAATATCTGAATTTAACCTAAATTAGGATATTTAAATTTAAAACAAGAAGGCTTAGTTATTTTAATGTTAGAACCCAGAATACTTTTTTTGAACTGTTCTTAATTTATTTTGAGTTTGATACCAAATTTAAAATAATGTTTATGTATAGAGCACCCTATCTTAGATGTAGAAAATCTTTTTAAAACAATTATTCCTTGCTTTCAAGGAAAAGATTATGATTGCTGCAACCTGTTTGAAGGGTAACTGTTTAAAAATTTTTAATGATTAATGGAATAAAATTATCATTTCTTTTATCCCCTTCCTTAGGGCCTCCACATCTAGGAGTTTGTCAGCACCTAGGTTTAGTACTTCACTTAACTTTGTGGAGAAGGAAAGAGATTTCAGAAAAACTCACCACGCTATGGCAAACGGCGGTAATCAGAATCTAAAGGTAAGCTCCATTAAAAACTAAAATTATTTCAAGTATAGATATAGTCTGTTCTTAATGGTATCTGGGAACTAAAAAAGGTCTCATATTTTCACAATAATATTTTGGTCACAATGGAAACCAAATATTTTGGTATATGAACCCCTTTTTGCCTATTGATATCAAAAGAATGATTCTCTTTTTTTAATAAATAATCTGGCTGTGTCATACAAGTACATAAGTAAACTATTTCAAAGTCACAGGTTTTCTTTTGAAATCACATTTATGTGTTTTCAAAATATATTTTTTATTTATCATTTTGCCTCTTAGTCCTCTTTGTATGTCCTTCCTTTACATGTCTCCCAACCAGTCACTTAGGAATGCATGACAGTGGGGTCTGGTGGGCAAGTCACTCCCACTCCTCACAATAGTTTGGATTTTTCTTTATCTCCCTTTTCCTTTTTGCAGTCTACTTGCCCACCTGACGTGCACGAGCCCACATACCCAACTTGTGCTGTGCTGGGGCCTTGGAAGGCACCCTGTTACCCACCTCTGCCTAAGGTGTTTCTGCAGCCTTTGATGCCCTTAACAGCAGGGGTCCTGGCCCTTGATTCATGACTGTGCTGAGCAGAAGTCTCAGTCAGATGTTTTCTCCAGATTACAACTAAGGCTGTAGCCTGGCTCTGTGATCAGGTGTCTCAGAAGAACTGTATCTGAGTTTATTTTTTCTGAGCTGTAGTTTACACAAAGCTCAGCAGCTTTTACCAAGTCCTCATTTGTCTTTTCAGGGTTTGAGGAAAGAAAAAGGGAATGGTATTTTGGCATTGGGTGGGTGATAGGCATTGAAGAGAACTTTTCCAATTCACTGTGTAGTCCTTTTTTTTGATAACATTGAAAATCGCCAGACTTTTGTGTTCTCCCACTGCTGTTTCCCTGGTCGGAGGTTGGGTTCTGCTTCCTGAAGGGGTTGGTGTCATTTGAAGATGTAGTAGTGGACTTCACCTGGGAGGAGTGGCAGGACCTGGATCATGCTAAGAGGCCCCTATACAGGGATGTGATGCTGGAGACCTACACCAGCCTGGTATCTGTGGGGCACTGTATTCCCAAACCTGAGGTGATCTTCAAGCTGGAGCAAGAAGCAGAGCCTTGGGTCATAAAAGAACCCCCCAAACTGAATCTCCCAGATGGCTAGATAGTTGATGACCTAATTGAGAGGAGTCAGGACAGTCACAGTAGACCTTTGTGGCAAGGTGAAATCACCAATGGGAACACATCATATAAGGAGGGGGTGGAATCATGCAATTTAATTTTAAGGAAATTTAAGGAATTTCATTTTAAGGAAAAACATGCAATTTAAGTTCAAACCATATACCAAAACCGATTATTAATAATGGAAATTATTCAGGAATGAGGCCTGAAGAGTTTAATACATGTCAGTATGGATTTCTCACTGGTGATCCTGCTGAGATGCATGCTGGAATCAGACCTGATGCCCATGATATAACTGGAACATCCCTCAGCAGTCATGAGCATCTTAATGAGGATCACAAGATCTTAACTGGGCAACAGCATTTTTAATGTAGTGGACAGCAAAACGCTTTTAACCAGGAGGCAGTATTATTGACACATAAGAGGCTTCACATAGGAGGAAACTTCTGTAAATATTATGAATGTCAGAAAGCCTGTGCTAAATCAGTTTTCATTGCCCAAGAGAACTCGGATAGGGTAGAGAACTTCTGAATGTAATGTATGTGGGTAAACATTCTCTAAAAAGTGTATACTCACTGAACATCAGAAGATACACAAGAAAGAAACCCTATAAATGTAGTGAATGTGGGAAAACCTTCATTAAAAAAATCATGTGTTATAAAACATCAGAGAATACATACAGGAGAGAAGCTGTATGCATGTGGCATATATGAGAAATGCTTCTGTGAGAAGTCAGCCCTGACAGCTCATCAGAGAATCCACACAGGGGAAAAACCTTTTCCAGAGCTCAGCACTCAGGGTGCATTAGGGTACTCACACAGGGGAAAGGCCCCGTGAATGTAGCAAATGTGGGTTAACACTCTTCTATAAGTCAGCCCTCACTGTACATCAAAGAATTCCCATAGGTGAGAAGTCATATGAATGTAAAGAATGAATAAAATCTTTCTACCAGAAATAGGCCTCACTGTACATGAGAGAACTCACACAGGTGAGCAACCCTATGGATATAAAGAATGTAGGCAATCCTTCTACCAAAAGTCAACCCTCACTGTACATCAGAGAACTCACACAAGTGAGAAACCCTACCGATGGAAAGAATGTAGGCCATCTTTCTACCAAAAGTCAACCCTCACTATACAGCAGAGAACTCACACAGGTGAGAAACCCTACCGATGGAAAGAATGTAGGCCATCTTTCTACCAAAAGTCAGCCCTCACTGTACAGCAGAGAACTCACACAGGTGAGAAACCCTACCGATGGAAAGAATGTAGGCCATCTTTCTACCAAAAGTCAGCCCTCACTATACAGCAGAGAACTCACACAGGTGAGAAACCCTACAGATGGAAAGAATGTAGGCAGTCTTTTTACCAAAAGTCAACCCTCACTGCACATCAGAGGACTTACACAGGAGAAAAACCCTATGTATGTGATGGATGTGGGAAAGGCTTTCACCAGAAGGGACACCTCAGGTTGCATCAGTGTATGCACATGGGAGAAACTCCATGCATGTGAGCAATGTGGGAAAACCTACCAGAAAGCAGTCCTGAGTACACATCAGAGGACTCACACTGGGGAATGACCCTATGAATGTAATGAATGAGGAAAAACATTTTGCCAGAAGTCAACCCTAAGCATGCATCAGGTTACTCAGGTGGGAGAAACCCTGTAAATGTAATGAATGTGGAAAAGCTTTTTGCCATGAGGCAGTCTCCCGTGTATCTGAAAGAACTCATATAGGTGAGAAACTATATGAATGTAAATGTATTGAATATTATTTTGCACCTGGTAGACAGTATACAACCAGTTGCTATCATCATGGTGGCTATTGTCATAATTTACAAAATGACTCTGTAATAAATTGGTAGTAGCCAGTAAGAGACTGATATTTGGCTACACAAGAACCACCTTCATTATTTTGACAAAGTCCTGATTTGGTTTTCTTACCCACTTTTACAGATTTATGGATTTATCTTGGTTGAGCTTTATGATTAGCTAAGACTGATCATTTTTCGTGTGCGTGATCCTGTGGGGCTGAGCATGTGCCCTAGCTCTGCCCAGTGACATACTGGGAGGATTCTATGGCATGTTTGTGAAAGATCCCTTAAAGGACAAGAGACATGGTTTTTCTGCAGTAAGGCATTGATCTTTGTGGCCATGTCCCATGAATGCATATTTCAGCCTTCAGGTGTGGGGCCTGATAATGGCAGGGAAGATCTCTGGAGAACCAGTGTGAATGATGATGTGATAGGATCTTGTGTCTCTCTTGTAAGGACAATAGTCCTGTAGGATTAGGGCCTTGTGCCATAACCTCATTTCACCCTAAATACCTCTTTAAAGTTCCTGTCTCTAAATACAATCCACTGGGGGTCAGAGTTTTCACATGTGCATTTTAGAAAGACACAAACAGTCCATAACACTCACTGATTTGAAATACCATCTCCATCACATACTAAGTTACTATTTGAAGTGCCTGTTTTTATCTGCCCAACATTCCATCCAGGATTGGGGTGAGTCTCCTGTGCCATCTGTAATTGTGGTCTTTGCAGATTTGTTTATGTGTGGTCCTGGAGCTGCCCACACTATCAGGAGTCTGTGTTTGTGGGATGGAAAGAGACTAATGAGGGTGTCCTAGTGACATAAAAGTCTGATTGGTCTGGACACTTCTGAGGCCTGCAGCACCTGTCTGTGTCTGTGGTTGATATTGCACCTGCATGTTTTTTTCCTTATTTTGTTTCCCCTACTCTGTCAAGGTTTCTTACTCCTATTGGTGCTTGAGTCCTGACTTGACAGAGTTTATCTGTCCTGTGTCTGCCTTTTTGTTTTCACTGAACAATTTACAGATACTTGTATATAAATTTGATGATGTCTAAATTTACAGTAGCTTTACAGTGCTTTTAATGTACTGTAGAATAATCTTTTCATTATTCTCTCTCTCTAAAAAAAAAAAAAATCTCCAAGAGGCTGTATTCAGTTAGGGAGAGGAGCATAGGGAAAGATGTGACAGTGTTAATTCAATACAGACATTATTGAACAACTGCCATGTCAGGCGTAATACCAGGCATCAGAAATAGAATTGTCGTTCAAGAATTTGTCATAATCACATCATGATCTCTTATCCTTAGTTGTCATTTTGTTTGCTTGTTTATACGTTTAGGCTTAATAACTACCTGCATATTTTAAGTGCTTGGGTGAATTCTGTTCTACTCTGAATTCTGTTCTGTTATACAGCTATTAAATTCTTCATGGCTGTATTTCTGTGTGTGTATGTGTGTGTGTGAAAGTCTCACTAATTTTATTTTCATGGGTAGGTGGTAGATGAAGCTTCAAAGGTAGATGATTGTGACTGTCATCCTGAATTTCCACCACCGTCAAGTGAGTATTTTTTTTTCCTGTATGAGTTATTACCAAGTTAATGTAGTGTTGCCTAAAATTTGCAGAAGCCTCATTTACATTTGTTGTTGTTGTCCTTTTACTTTATAATGCTTCTGTATTAAGAAAACTTTGAATATTTATTTGAAGTCAATATTTAGTTTTTTAATAGTATTTGATAAATTTAATTTTGGAACTCCAAATGAAAGGAATGAGAAAGGTGAAGTACATAGCTCTTTTTGGTCTGCTGCTTAGTTTTCTGCTGGCCTTTGTTTCTTATTGAAAATTTTCATTATTTGCCTCCCTTCCTCCCAACTCAAGGGACCGTTTTACTTTTTTCCTGATTGGCCTCCCCTATGAAAGTTTAATAACACCGATACTGTTTATGTACTATGTATGTATCTGTGCTTTATATATAGAAAGAGTTAGATTTTTCTATCTCTTAATAACTAATTTTTACCCTAACAAGGGGTTATATTGTGCTCATTGAGAATGGATACTTGTCTTAGTCCATTTGAGCTGGTATAACAAAAATACCACAAATTGGGTAGTTTATAAATAGTGAATATTTACTTTTTTACATTTCTGGAGGCTGAGAAATCCAGTATGGTGCCAGCAGATTAGGTATCTGGCGAGCGCCCTCTTACTAGTTCATAGATGGCCATCTTTTTGCTGTGTCCTCATGTAATAGAAGGGGCAAGAGAACTGTCTGGGGTCTCTTACAAGGGCATGAATCCCCTTCATGAGGGCACTGCCTCATGACCTAATCACCTCCCAAAGGTTCTACCTCCTACCCTTACCTTGGAAATCTGGATTTCAACATAGGAATCTTGGGGGAAGTGGGGAGATGGAGAAATTCAGCATAATAATGTTTTAGGCTAATTATTTATTTTAAGTTTTGTGTGCTCATGTATGTTTATGCATCTAATAAACACATAGAAACACAGCGGGACCTCATTACTTGGGATCATTGGGAGATGAAGGGTTAAAGAGAAGTGAATAGTCTTGCTTCAGTTATTTCTGAATCTTTATACTACCAGATTTTGATGAAAATCTTTCTAAACTCGATAACATGCTTTCCTGCTTTTTAAAACAGAGTTTATGAAAATACAGATTTTTTTTTTTTTTTTTTGAGACAGTCTCACTCTGTTGCACTAAGTAGAGTGTAGTGGCATCAGCCTAGCTCACAGCAACTTCAGACTTCTGGGCTCAGGTGATCCTCCTGCCTTAGCCTCCCGAGTAGCTGGGACTACAGGCACACACCATGACACCTGGCTAATTTTTCTGTTTTTCGTAGAAATGGGGTCTTGCTCTTGTTCAGGCTAGTCTCGAGCTCCTGAGCTCAAGCAGTCCTCCCACCTTGGCCTCCCAGAGGGCTAGGATTACAGGCATGAGCCACTGTGCTCGGCCCAAATACGGAGTTTTGTGTTTGCTCAAGATTGTTACTGTATATGCAACAGTTACTTAGGCTTTCACGTAGTATTCTTTCCAGGGTTTTTGAAGTGAGATTGATCTTCTAGTTAGTAATCCCATTATTCTCTTCTCCTTTCTTTGTTGGTTTGTTGGTTTTCTCTTCAGTGGTTTTGCTTCTAGCAACCATTTCTGTCTTTTGCTACCTACAGTTCTATCTTCTCTTAAGCTCCATTTCTGTATACCCACCTACTTAGCACTGAGCAGTTCTATTTGGTTAGCATTTGAATATAATTATAGACTGGGGAAACTCTGGCAGTTGTCTTACCTGATGTAATTCTAACAGCATGTGAAACATCTTTGAGGATAAAACTTTTTTTGGAAGACAGTTTTTAATTTATCGATATTATCTTAGGCCATTAGTATCAGAGAGCACATTTAAATAAATAATTACTCTCCACCCTTCAGCATCTACACTCAGGTGAAGAAACTGAAGTCTTAGGGTTAGGGTTAGTTTTATCCAAGGTGATGTAGCAGAAATCCACCTAGAACTCTTCTGCTTTTCAGAAGCTTCTATCGTTTTCTCTGAGGCTACCAAAACCAGCGCTGGCTCTCATTTCCTCCTTGTTACATTGGCTCTGACTTGTCCCTGTGCTCTTTCCCCAAATCTTCCATCAAATACACCCTGTACCTCCTGCCATACTGACTCTTCTACACAGCTTTGAGCGTGTCACACCCCTGCCCAGAAACATGCAGTGGCTTCCTACTCTTGCCAGTGGAATAAAGGCTGGGCTTCAGAGTGGGAGGATCTGAAGCTAAGAGTCTGTAAACACTCACCCATGCTTGGCTAAGCAACCCTTTTTCAGCCTCCCACCCTTGTTGAGCTCTTTAGATCACAAAGGTTTACTTAGTGTTTTTAAAATGAACTCCACTCTTGGATTTGAGTCATTGTGTATCCAAATCCTGCTTGTTCCTCAGAACCAAACACAAATGCTGCATCCTCACAAATGTTTTTCCCAACCTCTCTTAAGAGGTTAAGTGATTAAGAGGTTAAGCTTAAGTGATTTCTTCCTCTGTGAGCTGTGAGAGAAATTACTGACTATGGAATTAATATGTCAGCAACCATACAGTGTCTTCTTCCCTTCTTAAGGGGGATTGTTGTTAAATTACTGAAGTGATGTGTCTTTTTGTCCCATCTGATTGTAAACTGAGAATAGCAGCTATCGCCTATATTTCTGTATACCTATTGTAGACTTAAATAATAATTATCATTATAATTTATCTTTATAATAATATTATACCATACATAGAAAAACAGTATCAGCTTCTATTTTGGCCTACCTTTTTGTAGGTACATGCACCCACAATATCAGTTTACACTTTTTTTATTGTTTTAGTCTTGAACTTACAGAGTTTTATGTTCAGATTTTAGAAACAAATACTTTCGTATTCACAGGTCAGCCTCCCAAACACAAAGGAAAACAAAAATCCCGAAATAATGAATCGGAGAAGTTCAGGTATGTTTTTCCTCTAAGGTGTGATTGTTTTTCCTAGTGTACTCTTACCAAGAAAAAGGAAAAGGACTTTTCAAGATTTTTCAACTATTAGCTACTTTTACATATGTGTATTATGGTGAGTACCAAAATCCCTTTTAAATATCAAAGACTTGTCTTTAGGAGAGGATGTTTTGCAAAAGTATTAATCCTAGATGTTAATACCAACTTCTGAAAGTCATGTAAAATACTCAGTGTTAGTTATTTTCAATTCCAAAATATTTGTACCTAAAATGAAAACACATTCACAGAGGTGTAAGGTGAAGATTAAGTCTCCTTCCCTGCTCTCCTCATTTTACCTCCCACAGTCCCTGCTGAAGGACTGCCCTCAGAATGCACTGGTAACTGTTTCTTGGCTATCAGGAAACTTACACCGCATGTATAGGCATGGATATATGTATATATTTAGATGCCCTTTTCAGTAATTTTCATTACAGGAAAATAATTTTTTTTTTTTTTTTTTGAGACAAAGTCTCACTCTGTCACCCCCGCTAGAGCACAGTGGCAGCATCATAGCTCACTGCAACCTCAAACTCTTGGGCTCAACCAATCCTCTTGCCTCCCGAGTAGCTGGCACCACAGGCACACACCACCACACCTGGCTAATTTTCCTATTTTTGGTAGAGATGGGGTCTCACTCTTGTTCAGGCTGGTCTCAAACTCCTGACCTCAAGTAATCCTCCTGCCTTGGCCTCCCAGAGTGTGAGGATTACAGGTGTGAACACCATATGCAGCCAATGAATTCTGATCACTCACAACATCAGTTCTACTAAACATCTCCACCAGAATTAACAGTAGGAACTCTTACCACCTGTCTTTATTCCACCATTGCCCACAAAGATATAAATTGATTGCAAAGTGAAATTGTGACTCTTATAATACAGAAGTTTATGAAGTGAATCAAAGTGATGTTGGAGAAATAGCACAGCCATGTCTGCCATGATTACACTGGTTGTCAGTTTTCTAGTCTTCATTTCTTAAGGGTGAATCCATGATAGGTGGTTCAAGGAGAATGATTTCACTATCAAAACACTAAGAAAAAAATTGGAGTAAAGCCCCAATTTTTTCCAAAAATGACCATTCTCTGGATGCTGCTACTAAAATACAAAGCAAGGACATGGTATGTTATGTTATTTGATTATTTAGTAGAAAAATTCTGAGTCAGTCTTCCTGCTTCTCCCACTCCCTAAAGAAACCATATCCAAAAACACAATCTTTTTATTAATGCATAGTATGAATTTTAACCTGTTTTGTTAAAGATAAATTTATTTTCTATTCAGGAATTTATGTGACTGTTTACTCAGTATTTTACATGACTTTCAGTAATTACATTTTTTTCTTTATATAAATAGGACTGTTTTATTTAAAAATGCTTTTTTCTTTTAGTTCTAATTCACAGTTGACTTTACCAGTAGATTGGAAAAACATCTTGGAGAAACAATTTTCAAAATCTTCAAGAGCTGCACACCAGGTAATGGAGAAGACTTTTCTAGTGGAAAAAGCAAACTCTTTAAACAAAACATTTTTCACATGAATAAAGTTCTAATCGTGTATGTCTCTCAGATTTATTTTTTATAATTTTATCTGTAGATATATAATTTAATATATGATTGCTAAGAACCTGAACTATCACTGATTTAAATATTAACTTGGTAATTATGTTAGCCACAGGTTTAACTAATAGTTAACACTGCAGGATTGTTTGCTTTCCAAAGACTTAATAGTACTATTAACTTTAAATATTTTTAAAACTGTTTAAATATTGCTGTTTCATATACTATGAAATCATTAAAGAGCAAACTTTTTGTTCTTTGAATGATTTCACATTAATTAGATAGCTTTTGTGTGTAAAATTCTTTATTTAGTGATGAAAAATGTACAATAACTTGGACTAGATTACTTCTTTCAGAATATGTGGGCCAGTTTTTTAGGGTATACATAACAGATGTCTTAACAAAGCACTGAAATAGATATCTAATCATTTGCATAAAAACATTTTTAGAATTTCTTACAGTTGGAGATTTTTAAGTTATGTCTTCTTACATTGATTTTACTGACTCTAAAAACCATGAAGGACTTATATAGAAGACAGCCAGTAAAGATAAAAAAGACTAAGTAAATATGATAGTTATTTTTGAGCCTCCATTTGTTCATTTAACACATTTTTATGGAGGCCTTCCAATTTGCTGAAGAATGAGAGAGATTGGGTTTATGGGTGATATGATTCAGCCTGGTAGAGCTTTCAGTACAGATCATTTATGTTGTACTATATTGAGGGAAATAATTTCCAGTGAGAACATGAGGCTATGAGCATATTTGCTTTGTTTGTAGAATGAGAAAGATTAAAATCAAATTAGTTCATACAAGGCTAATAAGTAGTATTTGTGGGGATTGTACATCATCTTCTATAACTTCAAATTCATATCTTAAAATAAATATGGTCATCACTGAGCATTTTAAATACTATAACAATTACCAAGTTTATGTAAGAGCTGCTCTTTTCCTTGTATAATCTGGGGTAAAGTTCTCCTGAACATTGATTCATTGGTCAGAAGCCAGCAGAAAGCTTTTGTTGGTGGGTGACCAAACTGCTTTTCCCTCTGTGCTTTGAGCAATGGGGTATTCTTTTGAATCTTTATTGTTAGGAATAATGAGGAATATAAGATACATATTTGCATTTTCTGCTCCACTGAATGGTGTTCAAGTGCATGGCAAGGAGTGAAGAGATTTTAGACTTAATATCTAGTCATGCCTTTCCAATTTTTATGGAACTTTTGTGACTTAGAGCTATTATCATGTATCTAAAATCTGAACTTCAGGTTGTAATGAATGTGCATATATGTATTCAGATTACAAACTTTTTCTCACTTTATCTAAGAATACATTACAGCAATTTTGTTTTTGTTTTTTTATTTCTTACGTTCTTCCTTCTGCATTTCGCTTATTGATAGCTCTCCCAATAATTTTATCTAGTTATAGTCAAGTACATGTTAGGCAGGAGAGTTAAAAATTTAAATATCCATTGCTTGTTTAGAATTAAGGTTTGTTTCGGAGCAGGATGGCGATTGTTAAAATCTGATAGTTGGCCAGGTGTGGTGGCTCACGCCTGTAATCCTAGCACTCTGGGAGGCTGAGGCAGGCAGATTGCTCGAGGTCAGGAGTTTGAAACCAGCCTGAGCAAGAGCGAGACCCCATCTCTACTAGAAATAGAAAGAAATTAATTGGCCAACTAATATATATAGAAAAAATTAGCCGGGCATGGTGGCGCATGCCTGTAGTCCCAGCTACTCAGGAGGCTGAGGCAAGAGGATTGCTTGAGCCCAGAAGTTTGAGGTTGCTGTGAGCTAGGCTGATGCCATGGCACTCACTCTAGCCTGGGCAACAAAGTGAGACTCTGTCTCAAAAAAAAAAAAAAAAAAAAAATCTAATAGTTATCGGTACTTTGATTGCATGTTTTTTTTTTTTTTTATTTTGGCATATTATGGGGGTACAGATTTTAAGGTTTCAATAAATGCCCATTTCCCCCCCAAGATTGCATGTTCTCATGTGTAATTGTTCTAGTCTCAGTCAAACAATTTACTTACTTAAATAATGGCTGATATTTTCTGTACATGTTGTTAAAACTTCAAAATGCTGTTTAGTCTAGAAAGCAAGCAAGGCTTAGCACCATGTAGTGTAATATGAACCACCCTTGTCATGGGCAGTGGCAGAGGTGTTAGAATTAAGATGAGTAAACAGTACCTTTTAATTTTCACTTTTGTGCTGAAAAAGGAATATAAGGTATAAAGAATAGTTTGAATATTTATTTAAATATTTTATTACTAGTCATAAAATATTACTGATGAACTTGGCATCTTAAGTTTTAAACTAAAAATGTATAGATTTGGATTGCTGAAATAGAATTTCTTTTTTGCAGGATTTTGCTAATATCATGAAAATGCTGAGAAGCTTAATTCAAGATGGTTACACAGCCTTGTTGGAGCAGCGCTGCCGCAGTGCTGCACAGGCCTTTACAGAGTTGCTGAATGGTTTAGATCCTCAAAAAATAAAGGTAAAATTGCATGTCATGACTCAATAGTTTGCACCTTAGATGAATGTAGGAGAGATTGAGGCTTTAACTCATTATATTACTATGTGTTAGAGCTTGCTGAGATTGGCTGAATCTACTCTAGGTTGTGGGAAGCAGGTAGTACTCAAATTCAGATTTTAATGGTTAACACTTAATATAGGATCCATGTTTATACTCCCTGACTATAGTTTAGGTTCATTAGAATTCCTGGCCTTTTCTCTTCTTTAAAATGCTAAATCAAGAATTTGGACTTACTTTAGCCACATCTTTTCATCCAGAAAGTACAGGTATACCTGATTTTGTTGTGCTTCACAGATACTGTGTTTTTTATAAGTAGAAGATTTGTAGCAACCCTGTGTTAAGTCTATTGGTGCCATTTGTGCAAAAGCATGTGCTCACTTTGTGGCTCTGTGTCACGTTTTGGTAATTCTCAAAACGTTTAAAACTTTTTCATTATTATTATCACGATGTCTGTTATGGTAATCTATAATCAGTGCTCTTTGATGTTACTATTATTATGTTGGGGTGTCACAGTCTGTACCCATATATGATGGCAAACTTAATAAGTGTTGTATGTGGTGTGTGCTCCACTGACTGGCCTTCCCCCATCCCCTGCCCCGACCCTGATTGTCACCCTCTCCTTGGGCCTCCCTATTCCCTGAGAGGCAACGATATCGAAATTAGGCCAATTAATGACCTTACTGTGGCCTCTAAGTGTTGAAGTGAAAAAGAAGAGTCGAACGTCTCTGACTTTAAATCAAAAGCTAGAAATGATTAAGCTTAGGGAGGAAGGCATGTCGAAAGCTGAGATAGGCCAAAAGCTAGGCTCTTGTGTCATACAGTTAGCCAAGTTGCGAATGCAAAAAAAAGTTTTGGAAGGAAATTGTAAGTGCTACTCCAGCAAACATACAAATAACAAGAGAGCATTGTTGCTGTGATACGAGGAACATTTTGATGGTCTAAATAGAAGATCAAACCAGCCACACCATTCCCTTAAGCCAAAACCTAATCCAGAAAAAGCACTAACTGTTCAATTCTGTGAAAGCTGAGTGAGGTGAGGAAGTTTCAGAAGAAAAGTTGGAAGCTAACAGAGGTTGGTTCATGAGGTTTAAGAAAAGAAGCCATCTTCATATCATAAAAGCAGCAAGTTATCCAGAAGATCTAGCTAAGATCATTGATAAAGGTAACTACACCAAACAATAAATTTCTGATGTACATGATACAGCCTTCTGTTGGAAGAAGATACCATTTAGTTCCTAGGTAGAGAGGGGAAGTTGATGCCTGGCTTCAAAAGACAGGCTGACTGTTGTTAGGAGCTGATGCAGCTGATGACTTTATGTTGAAGCCAGTACGAGGACCTTAAAGAATTACACTAAATGTACTCTGCCTGTGCTTTAGAAATAGAGCAACAAAGCCTGGATGGCAGCATATGTGTTTGTAGCATGGTTGACTGAAGATTTTAATCCCACTGTTGAGACCTGCTCAGAAAAAAGATTCCTTTCAAAATATTACTGTTCCTTGACATTGTACCCGGTCACCGAAGAGCTTTTATGTATAAGGAGATTAATGTTTTCATGCCTGCTAATAAAACATCCATTCTGCAGCCTGTGTATCAAGGAGTAATTACTTGACAGTAATTTGACTGTCAAGTTTCATTGTTTAAGAAATACATTTCATAAGGCTACAGCTGCCACAGATTCCTCTGATGGATCTGGGCAAAGTAAATTGAAAACCTTATGGAGGCTGGGTGTGGTGTCTCACGCCTGTAGCACTCTGGGAGGCCGAGGCGGGAGGATTGTTCAAGGTCAGGAGTTCGAGACCACCCTGAGCAAGAGTGAGACCCTGTCTCTACTAAAAATAGAAAGAAATTAATTGGTCAACTAAAAATATATAGAAAAAGTTAGCCAGGCATGGTGGTGCATGCCTATAGTCCCAGTTACTAGGGAGGCTGAGGCAGAAGGATTGCTTGAGCCCAGGAGTTTGAGGTTGCTGTGAGCTAGGCTGACGTCAGGGCACTGTAGTCCAGGCCACAGAGTGAGACTCTGTCTCAACAACAACAAAAAAACCTTATGGAAAGGATTCACCATTCTAGATGCCATTAAGAACATTTGTGATTCATGGGAGGAGGTCAAAATATCAACATTAACAAGAGTTTGGAAAAAGTTGATTTCGGGCCCCCACTGATAACTTTTTAAAGGGTTTGAGATTGGTGTGGAGGAAGTAGTAACTGCAGATGTGGTGGAAAATAGCAAGAGAATTAAGAAGTGGAGCCTGACGATGGGACTGAATGAACGGCAGTCAAATGATCAGACTTGATTGAACAAATGAGGAGCTGCTGCTTACTGATGAGCAAAGAAAGTGGTTTTTTGAGATGGAATCTACTCCTGGTGAATATGCTTTGAACATTGTTGAAGTGACAACAAAAAAAGTTAGAATATTACATAAACTTAATTGATAAAACAGTGGCAGGGTTTGAGATGATTGTCAATTTTGAAATAAGTTCTGTGGGTAAAATGCTATCAAACAGCATTGCAGCTACAGAAAAATCTTTCATGAAAGGAAGAATCAATCAATGTGGCAAACTTCATTGTTGTCTTATTTTAAGAAATTGCCACACCCTCCCAATCTTTCAGCAACCACCACCGTGATTGGTTAGCAGTCATCAACACTGAGGCAAGATTCAGTTAATCCAGGATTCTTAGGAAAGAGGAAGCAAAACATCAGGCAAGACCCACCACCAGTGTAAAGATTATGACTCACCAAAGCCTCAGATGATGATTAGCATTTTTTTAGCAATAAGATATTTTAAAATTATGGTATGTACATTGACATATGTCCATAATGTATGTACATAGACATAATGCTATTGCACACTTAATAGACTACAGTATAGTGTAAACATAACTTGTATGTACACTGGGAAGCCAGAAAATTTGTGTAACTCACTTTACTGCTGTATTTGCTTTACTCTGGTAGTCTAGAAGCAAACCTGCAATATCCCTAAGGTACATCTGTAATTGCTATGTAAATACATAGCTTAGGCAAGGTTGTAAGAGAGCAAATGTCTAGATCTGCCACTAGTACCCACTTAAATGCAAAAGAGTATGGTTTTAATTAAAAATTATCCTACTCTATTTTGAACCATGCTTCAAGAAACTGAGACAGTAATTCTGTGTTTTAAGCACTTAATAGCAATATAACTGATTATCTTTGCAAAATATTGCCTAATTCTATTTGGCCTTTAACCCAATCAGATTGATTAGTGAGATTTTCTTGCATTTCTTTTTCTGTTGTGACTAGAAGGTTAGTATGATAGAAATTGGACAGAATTATGTTCACATTTTAACTGAAGTATTTTTATTGACAGCAATTGAACCTGGCCATGATTAACTATGTCTTGGTAGTGTATGGACTTGCCATTTCTCTTCTTGGAATAGGACAGCCTGAGGTAAGATTTGTAATGGAAACCATAAACAATTAAAATATGATATTGACATATTTTATAAAAATTATTTTCTCATTTTCCTGTGTACTTGATAATTTTGTCTGAAGTATCTCAATTTAATTTAGCTTGTGTTTTTTTTTTTAAAGAAAACTTACTTTGTTTCCTATTAGAAAAAGGAATCCACTTTTTATTTGTATAAAATTTTAAAAATGTGATGTATCATGATATATTTCAGAAACATAATGTTGAGGAAAAAGGCAAGTTGAAGAACATATACATTATGATCCCACTTATCGTTTATGGATATCTGTACATTTTGTGAAAGTTTAAGAAAGAAAAACATGGACTATCCCTACCTCAAATTTAAGATAGTAATTGCTTTTAGTGATGGGAGGAGGGAATGGCCTGAAAGGTTAAGAAAGGAGACTTCAACTTTGTGTTATGCTGTTTTTCTGGAAAAAGAAAAGTGAAAATGATAATGTTATTATCTCTTAGTTCTGGTGGTAAGTACTTGGAGATTTTATTATTTCTAGAGTGCAAGCTTCCTAGAACTGTATATAATCACTGTGTAGGTATGAGCTCCCATGATTCTATTAATTATGCTTCCTCCTGCTCTCCTGGAATGTTTATTTGCCTCTACTGTTTGACATTATCAATTTGATTTTCTTGGTTTTGGGTTTTTGTAAATGTTGAAATGCTCTAGAATGACCTCAAGTATATATCCTCTCTACCAAGTTGGGCTCCAGTCTTCCCTAGCTAAATGAAGGCCAAACCCTCAGTTGCTGGCTAAGGTGGATCTCAGTTATCTTTTATGTTCTGTTCTCTCCTGGTGGTCACAGTGCCTGAGGTTCATTTTCCTTGTTCTCAATGTGACAGATGAATGTCTTCCATTAATACCTGTCTCATGCTATTTTCTAATAGATTGTTGGAGACTTCAGGACTTCATGATTTTAATTATATTCTTGATAGAATAATAAATATCATGTTTTGCTTATTAGAATTGAAGAATTAGTTTTTTACATTTGTGATTTACTGTAAAATGGTGAGACTGATATGAAAAAAAAATAGATATGGTAGAACTTACACATTTAAAAGAATTTCACCAGAATAGGCCTTTGAAGAAGGCATGTGTTTACTCTAATAAGCCCTTGCATCAAATGTTTTTGGATTGTCTCCTTTGGAACTGGCCTCAAAGCTCTATTTTGTAGTGACTTTGTTTTTCACCCACAGTGGAGTTACCAGTATTTCTTAGAACTAAGTACCTTTTGGATTTTCCAAAAACAAAATTCTTTCAACTCAGAGGTTTCACACTGTTGAGAGTATTCAAAAAAGAATGTACTTTAGGCTCTGTTTTTACTAAAGGGCTATTTTTAAGACAAAGCTTTTGTTTCTTAGGCCATAAAACATTGTGCAACAACATCGTTGGGATGCCGGTCCTTCCAAGGCAGCAGGGAGTAGCACTTACTAGGATAAATGTTACGGTGTGTTTGCACCCAGATCAGTCTTTTTAACCATGAATTTATACCCTCTAGTATTAGTCAAGCTAGGCGTGGTGGTGCTCACCTATAGTCCCAGCTACTCAGGAGGCTGAGGCAGGAGGATCACTTGAGCCCAGCAGTTCTAGGCTGCAGTGAGCTATAATTGTACCACTGTACTCTGGCCTGGGTAACAGAGTGAGACTCTGCCTCTTAAAAAAATAAATAAAATATTAGCACACACCAGACCCTTAGTGTGTACTAGTAAATGTCACAGAGTTGGTTGTGTTTCTGAATATGATCAGAATTTATGTAATGCCTAAGAAAATGAAATGCAGAAGGTATAATTTTGTCACAGGAATTTGGGAATATATTATTATTATTTTAATATTATGCAAGAGTCAGTCTTCAGATAAAATCTGTTTTAGCATTTCTCTTTTTGAGTAAATGATCATTCCTCTCACTACTATTGAAGGAATTATCTGAAGCTGAAAACCAGTTCAAGAGGATGATTGAACACTACCCCAATGAGGGGCTTGACTGCTTGGCCTACTGTGGAATTGGAAAAGTATATTTGAAAAAAAACAGGTCAGTAGAAACAACACTACTGTAAGCTTCAGGCTAGAAACACATTCAAAGTCTAATGTGATGATGATCCCTTTTCTGGGATTATTTTGCTATCTTCTTTGTGACACACTGTTATAATTGTGATTGACTTTGAGGACTTAGCATTTTGCTATCAATTATTAAAACAAGGCCGATCAGTACAGTTCCTGGTACTTCTTAATTTTGAATATAATAAGAAAGTCAATAATAGAGTAATTTGACATGAAGGATTTAATATTCTTTATTATACGTCATCTATAGGTAGTGACTGAGTTGATACAGTCACTATCAACAGTCACAGATACAGATTAATGATTTAAAAATCTGATTGTATAAATTTTTGGTTAATTCTAAAATATCTGTGTGGAGATGGTTTAAATAAGAGGTATGTGTATGTTCAAACACATCATGAGTTAGGAATAAAAATCTCTTCTCTGAGCTCTTTTATAGTTGGAATCTCCTTACTCAGTGTTTAATAAGAAGCTGTTCTCTAAATGTTTCATGTCTTAGTTTTGTCTTCCCAAATTGGTTGTCTGACCTTTAGGGGACAGGAGCTTTAAAAAAAACTCCTGAGCTTTTAAAAAAAATTTTGAGCTTTAAAAAAAATATCTGTTCTGCCGCTTGCACCCAATATAGTAGTAGTTATGTTAGTAGTAGTAGTAGTAGTAGTAGTTATGTAAGGTTACTTTATAAAGAAATAATTATTGACTGATTGAATATCATTCATAATATAATTCATAAATAACTTTTTATGAATATAATTTTTTATGAATATATTTCATAATAACTTTTAATTATCCTTCATGTCTCATCTAACTTGTTAGGGCAAATTTTATGAGACTCTTGGGAACCCAATCTTAAAGTGTGCCTAGAATCTTCTAAAAAAAATCTAGAGATTTTTTTTTCAATTTATTTATTTATTTTTAATTTCAGAATATTATGGGGGTGTAAACATTTTGGTTACATATGTTACCTTTGCATAGCCCAAGCCAGAGCTACAAGCATGCCCATCCCCCATACAGTGTGCTCCATACTTATTAGTTATGAGTTTATTAGTGGAGTTTACCTCCACCCCCCCTCCCACCTGCCTGGCACCTGGTGAATATTACTTCCATGTGAGCACCTAAGTGTTGATGAGTTAGTACCAATTTGATGGCAAGTACATGCGGTACTTGTTTTTCCATTCTTGTGATACATCGCTTCGAAGAATGGGCGCTAGCTCCACCCAGGATAATGTAAGAGGTGCTAGTTCACCCTTGTCTTTTATGGTTAAGTAGTATTCCATGGTATACAAATACCACATTTTATTAATCCACTCATGTGTAGATGGGCACATCTTTGCAATTGTGAATTGTGCTGTCATAAACATTTGTGTGCAGGTTTCTTTATTAAAGTTCTTTTTTCTTCTTAAAGTTTCCATCTCCGAGGTTGGACTATTAAGGATCAAGTAGATGGATCAGGAAGATGCAGGAGAAATGAGGATTTAGCAATTACCTTTATAGTAAATGAAATTAAAAGTTTAGTATACATTCCTTAGGACATATCTGTTTAATACCTTGGTCACATGTAGACATTCACAAGGTCTAGGAAAATAACATGTTTAAAATTATTGTGATAAACTGAAAAGTTTTTGCCATGTTGAAAGGCATTTAAATTTTAATTTCTAACTAATATGATGTGGGGTTAAATGTCTAATGTTCTATTTTTTGGCATTTTAATGTGTAGCTTCTGGTTTAAAGTCCTGCCTGTAACTGTCTTGTGGTGGATGGTGGTCCAGCTTTTCTGCACATAAATCTTTCTATGCCTATAAGCAAAAATAAGTTTTAAAATTGGAATATCGTTTCAAGGTTGGAGAAAGCAGTAAATGTTTTTTCTTCTCCAATCTGAAGAGAAGAATAAAGACTTGGTCAACTTTGTAATCTAGTACTTCAGTATTCCTTTGTTGAAGGGACTGTGGGGATCTATTGACATTATTTCTTTAAACCATGAATCACATCAGAGCTAAAAGCATTTCATATTAATATTTTTAGTTAAAACAACTTAAATACACATTTGTTTTGTTAAAATAATTTACTGCTTTATGGTTAAAGAAAGATGTCCAGAATATATCCTTTCAAGATTTTTTCAAGCAGAGAGAGAGGTTTTTCTTATAGATGACCTTCCTAAAGGAGTCAAATTTAAAAGGAGGAATCCCCTATTTATGATTAAGTAGTTGGAGTGGAGGTTTGCTATTTCTCTACAAGAATCTACTTTAATTAGCTTAGTTAATGAAGCAAATAAAAACAGACAGCCAAATTGTCCAATTTTCTATTTTAGTTGTTGGAAACTTTGAAAATAAGTTGCAACTTTAGAAGGACTAGTGTGCACTTACTGTTAATAAAGCCAATGTCCCGGAGAGAGTTGTGATTAATGTATGTTACTTTTGTAGCAAACATAATAATGCTTCAGTTTTTTAAAGAAAATTTAGGCTACATTGAATATTTCTGTAGAGTGATTTATCAAATATACTCTTCCTAGTATGCTTAAGATCTTGGTGACTTTTGTTGTCGTGAATGAAATACCATGTCACATCTTTAATACCTTCTTTTCTTCATAATCATGACTTTAGATTTCTAGAAGCTCTCAATCACTTCGAGAAGGCAAAAACCTTGATTTATCGTCTCCCTGGAGTGTTAACTTGGCCCACAAGTAATGTGGTTATTGAAGAGTCTCAGCCAGAGAAAATAAAGGTAACTTTAGTTCTGCAGAGTGTTTCCCCTAACTGTAATAGCCCATCTTCATTGACAGACTTGGGTATCAGAAGACAAAGAGGTGGGAGTAGTCTGTCTCTGCCTTTCCCACATGCATTTCCCCTTTAAAATCTAATGAGAATCACTGACACTGGATTTTGCCACTGGATGTTGTCAGTCACACACCTTTCGCTCATCATTACATTTAATCCTTACAGCAGCCCTACAAGATGAGTAGTATAATCATTCTCATTTTGAAGATGAGGAAGATTAAATCTGGAGAGGTTACGTAGTGAGCTCAAGGCTAAATAGCAAGCAAATGGTTGTGCTGTAATTTGAAACTAGGCATTCTGACTTTAGAGTGTGTGTTATCAAGTGATACGCTATACTGTATCTAAGTATACGTTATACTTAGAGGAAGTTGTATTATTGTTGTTTCATCATAGTTACCACAGTTATTGAGATGGTACTTGGAGACTTGGAAAATAGTTAAAAAGTAGAAGGATCTGAGTAGACATTTCTGCAAAGAAGGTATACAAATGGCAGTTTAGCACATGAAAAGATGTTCAATATGATTAACCATAAGAGAAATGTAAATCAAAACCATAATGAGATACTACTTCAGACCCACTAGGATATGAGTAGACAAGATAATAAATGAGGATATAGAAAAATTGGAACATCCATACATTGCTGGTGGTAACATAAAATAGTATAGTTGCTTTGGAAAACAGTCTGGCAGTTCTTCAAACAGTTAAACATAGAAGTTACCATATGATACAGCAGTTCCACTCCTAGGTATGTATAGAGAAAGGAAAACGTATTCTCACAAAAAGTTGTACATGAATGCTCATAGCTGTATTATTCATAATAGCCAAAATATGGGAAACAGCTCAAGTGGCTATCAACTGATGAATGGATAAATAAATAAAAAGTACTGATATGTGCCACAACGTGGATGAACCTTGAAAACACTATGCCACGTAAAAGAAAAGGCCACATATTTTATGATTTCTTTATATGAAATCTCCAGAATCGGCAGATATATAGAGAGAGACCGAAAGTAGATTTGTGAATGCCCAGGCTTGGGAGCTTAGAGGAGAATGAGGAGGAACTGTTAATGAGTTTGGAGTTTCTTGTTCTTGTGATGAAAATGTTCTAAATTTAGATTGTGATAACTGTTGTACAACGCTGTGGATATATACTAACTACTAAACTGTACGCTTTATGTTAATGTATGATATGTTAATTATATCTTACCAAAGCTATTATAAAAAAAATAAAACGCAAAACACAGGGATTGTTGGATTTAGCTCTCTTCATACAAAATTGGAATGGGGGCATAGGAGCTACTGATAACGAAAAACCAATACTGGAAGCATGGTCCTCCCATCAGCAGTGGGGTGATTCTCCAGGAGATGCTCTAGCTCCAGTGGCAGAGATTCAGGAAGGTAGATAGATGGATGGGTGTGTTAGGGCTTACGTGAAGTGGCACTGGGAAGGACGAGGACAGTGAAGTCCTCAGGGTTAGCCTAAGGGTTATTCTACCTCTTTGACTCCCTCTTAGTGCTTATATGAGATTTCTAAGAGCTGTAAGTCATAAATTGAGGTTTGATGATCATAACAGAGGACAGGATTTTGATTGTGACTCCCTGAAATTCTGAATAAACAATTTTTGTTCATCCTTTTTAAAGATCTCTCTTTCATGGCATGTCTGTATCAGCCTCCTTTTAAAAGGAAAAACTTTAGAAGTTATATGTAGTTTGTTCTTGGCTAAAAAAATTTAGTCATTTGTATGCTTAAAATATTTTGATGGCTAGAGGTTGCTGAAATCACAAGCATTTTTATTGACAAATTAGTATTGTAATCATATCATTTTTGTTTATTTTGTTTTAGATGCTGTTAGAGAAATTTGTTGAAGAATGCAGGTTCCCTCCAGTGCCAGATGCCACTTGTTGCTATCAGAAGTGCCATGGATATTCCAAAATCCAGATTTACATAACTGATCCAGACTTTAAGGTAAATAGTGGTGGTACAGTGGGACCTTAACTTAACAGAACCATGCCTTGAATGGATTCAGAGCACATTCTGTAATTGGAAGCACCCAAGTTCTCTGCCTAGCAGTTTTATGTCTGTTCCTTTCCCTGAACTTCTTTAGGTCTACATCATATCACCTGGGACCCCAGAACCACTGAAAATCATGACTGTGGGCTGGGGCGGTGACCTGAGAAAGCAGGCTAGCTAATTCCTTTTCCTTCTAGCATTTCAATACTAGCATTCCTTCTAGCATTTTAACACTAGTCCTTAGTATTAAAATGTGATGGTTACTTCCAATTTGTTGGAATTCTCATCTCTTGTAAGATTTGAGTCCGGAAATCTAAAGGCCATTGTGATCATTGAATTACTCCCTAGAAACCTAAATTTGAGATCAAGTCTGGCACTTAGTAGAGTGAATAAATTGCTGGTTTATTCAAAAAGATAGTAGCTGTTCACTATCCCACTGTCCCTGGTTAGTTAATAAGATGAAATAATGTTTATAAAGTATTTGACACATTGTAAAGAATAATGCAGCTATATGCTGTGGAAATGAATATGTCAGTCAAGCTCTCTGTCTCTGACACTGGGCATTTTGGGGTACAGAAGTATTGTACTCCCTCATGAGCAGAATGTCTAGTTATGTCTGCCAGGTGAATGCAACAACTCTCTTTATCTTAATTTGTGTGTTGTGAGTGTGTGTGTGCACGGACATCTTCAAAATGTGAATTAAAATTTTTTTGAAATCCCAGGGTTTTATACGTATCAGCTGTTGCCAGTACTGTAAAATAGAATTTCACATGAACTGCTGGAAGAAGTTAAAAACAACAACCTTTAATGATAAAATTGACAAGGTAAGACATCATAAGATTGTCTGGATTTTTTAGTATGCTTATTGTATGTTTGATTTTTTTCTCCTGAGAATTTTAGAAGTCTTAAGTGACTATACATACATTCTTTCCTGAGCATTATAGACATCATTAGAAAGTTTTAAATTATAACTTTAATAAAGTAGAAAATCAGATTTTGTTTTTATTTTATACAACTATAAAGGCAGTATCATAGCAGCCTTTAATAAATTGTTCAACCAACTTTTGTGTTAGAAATGTAACGATCAAAAGTAAAATTTAATGTTTGATTTAGAAATATATGTTGTAAACTATGCACTGATAATTTTAGTATTTTAGAGATTTTTCATTTAATCATTTGAAAGTTTTGATGTAGAATTAGAGGTTTCAAAACTAAAATTTGATGAGGTAATTTGTACTAAGAAGTCAACTCAAATTTTTTTTAACATTTGAGGAAGAAGATCAACTTAAATTTGATATTGCCGTTTCTCACTGGGGTTTTTCTTTTCAAGATAATGATGTTAATTATCATTAGCTAGATATACTCTGAGAGAAGGCACAATTTTATAATCCTATTTGTATTTATATAATTTGTTTCTGATCTATATAAGCCATGGGCCTTCTATACTGCATAGGCTCATGTAGATCACTGTTCCTATTGGAGAAAATATAAGGTGGTTGTACCAGGTATCTGTTAGCAATAGGAATTATTCAAGTTTGGTAGAAAAAAAATTCGCACATTTTGTACACTTGCACAGTTAACTAAAGAAATTATGATATGGCCAAGTAACTATTGCCATTGAGTTACTACCGCGATGTCTTTGTCTCACCTAAATTGAATTTCTCTAGTGATACACTGTCCCTTAGTGGTCTTAACCATTCCCCTGGCTTTAAATACCCTCCGTAAATTAGTTAGCTTTCACTAGGGTATGCTGAAGTAATCTAGAACCCAAATATTTTGTGGTTTACAATAAGAGAGGTTCATTTCTTGTTAAGATTACTTGTTCTACAGTTGTTGGTCAGAGTCGGGCTGTAGCAGCTCTATTATATGTGGCCGTGTTCTTTGTTTCTGAATCCAAGTTGAAGAGTGAGCCTTTTCTAGAACATGTTCCTGTGTCAGAGGGAAAGAGCAATGGCCAGTCATATGCAGTGTGTTTAAAAGCTTTTGCTTAGACATGGTGTGCATCATGTCAAGTCACCTTGCATTTACAAAAACAAGTCACATGGTCAAACCTGCACCCAGAAGTATATTCGTTCTACAAGGAAGCTCTGAAAATCGAGTGCCAATGAACAGACTTTCAGTGCTTCCCTGATGAAGGTTTTAACTTATATTTTGACTGTTGTTAGTAGTTAAAATACATACATGTATAGATTTATCCCCCTCCCAGACATAACCTTCTTTTTCTTCTCTTTTTTAATCAAATAGGATTTTCTACAAGGAATTTGTCTTACCCCTGACTGTGAAGGTATCATTTCTAAGATTATCATCTTCAGCAGTGGTGGACAAGTTAAATGTGAAGTAAGTATCTAATAAAGAGGAAACCTTATTAAATTGATAACCAAAATGTTTATACCTTTTAAAACATGATTTAAATTTTCGTAAGTTGTGTGATTTGCATCTGGTCTTTTCCAGGAAAGAAATAGTTACTTCATTTAAGAAATACAGGAAATATTCAGATATTCATTACAATGATGCATTCTCACATTCATTTATTTCTTAATAGGAAAAGGAAGCTTTTACCTTTTAGTTCTACTGTTTTTACTCTTTTTAATAACTTTGCTTTCTAAATTCCCCAGTAAACTTTTGGGAATTGGTGGTGGTGCAGATATTTAGGGAGGGGGAAGAGTAGTTTGAGGGATTACCTTTAACTTTACTATATGGGAGTGACAGAAGTGGGTAATTGTAATAATATTTGTAGTTCATTGGATTTTCTGCTTACTCTCAATTTTTTTTTTAAAAAACATTTTCCTAAAGTATGTCTACTCTCTTGTTCCTCTTTTCAGTAAATTATTTTGCTAAAGCTTTCTGGGCTTTTGTCTGGGTCAGAACCCCATCACTGTTCTCTATCAAATTGAACATTGACTATGTGTGTTTCTGAAATACTTGTTACTTGTGGTTTTGTGCTTTATGTCATGGGAGTATGAGACAAATTTTGGATGTCTTTGTTTTATTTAAAGTTTGAACACAAGGTCATAAAAGAAAAGGTTCCTCCAAGACCTATTCTGAAACAGAAATGTTCTAGGTAAGATTTCTAACAATCAATCGCTAGTTTAATGATGTCTCTTAGAATGTAAATTCTTTTAAATGAAGATTTCTAAATTATGCTGTTTTTTAAATTGGCTGTGCATACATATATCCAAATAAGTACTTTTAAAATGATTGTTATGGGTATTTAAAGCTTAAAGAGAGCTTGCCCTGAGTGGTTAAATACTAAAAACTTAATTCAGAGTCATTTAGTGGGTTGATTTTATGAGTAAAAGTATAACATTTGAGGCTGTGAATTGACATGTGTGATTAATAGATTTGGCATTTAGATAAAAATTATATATTTAGCTTTCAGTTCTTTAAACTTTAATTCCGCAAGCACTTTTTCTTTTTATCTCTCATCAAACAGTTTGAATCAATGACTATTTCTTACCCTGAAATACTAAATGTACAGTCTAAATTATTGACTTCTCTGTATTTTTCTGTTCAGATCAAATAATTCAAGTCCTTTTTTCTTTTCTTTTTTGGTCCTGCTTTTTGGTTTTCATTCTAAGGAGTGATTCTTTTTCATCATTTGTGACCAAGAAAAAGCAAAAGAAAAGATGAACAGAATTATTTGTTGGAGAGAATTCATTGCAGCCAAATGAATGGCTACATTCAGTCCCATATTGTGGCTCATCATTGGGATGTGAAAATAATATTTTACCATGGGCTCTATCTTAGAAATGAGAATTTACATATATTATCTTGCGGAGTAATTTGTACTATTCCTTTTTACTTATGCAGTAACTTACATACATGGAAATAACACCTATAAATCTATATGTTGCATCCTTAATTAGAAATCACTTAATCATTGAATTTCTTGTTATGAAACAGGTACCCTTATTTTGACCAAACTGACAGATCTTTTTTTTATGTCGAGTAGAAGTTGTAGGTCAGTTTCTAATTAAAAAGGAAAACTTCTTACCTATTGCTTGGTTTCTACAATAGGCAAAGGAAAATAGTTCATTGAGTTTATAATAGAGATGAATTATCACTAATAATAAGTGTTTATCAGCCTAGAGAAGCTAAGACTGAAGGAAGACAAAAAATTGAAGAGAAAGATCCAAAAACAAGAAGCAAAAAAATTAGCACAAGAAAGAATGGAAGAGGACTTAAGAGAAAATAATCCACCCAAAAATGAAGAGCAGAAAGGTATGCAGGAGTCCAAGGCATGATTAGCATAATACACTCTTGCTTAAAAGTATAAATATTAATGTTCATCTTACTGGGCTTTATATTGTTACTGAATTGAAATATAGATTTCAGTTAATATTTTAATACTATCACTGTCTTCTATTACTCTGAGACACAGTGGATTAGTGTGAGGAGCACTGATTTAGAGCAATGTGTGGGGATTCCAACACTCACCTCCCACTAACTCTGGGCAAACTCTGTGTCAGTTTGCTCATCTCCGAGGTGCGGGTGGACATGATATCTGACCTACATATTGTGTTTTTGACAGTGCACTGTAAATTCTGCTATGTGGATTTAGGTTCCAAAATGTTCAATTGTAAATTAGCTACTAATTATGTGTAATAATGGTGAATTCAAATAAAGAGGCAGTTCATGAAAAATACCATAAACACCTACTCCAGCTTTCTATTTTATGCTCATCTTGTCCTATTTCCCCATTTACATGGGATTGTCTCATTGGTAATTTTAACTATTTCTGTGTACGTGCTAGCCAATATGTTTATTTTCAGAATGGAATTGATATATGTTTTCCTTGTATTCTACTATTATGAATGACTGTGTTTCCAAAATGGAACATTTTCCACTTGCCTCTGTATTTCTTATCTGGTATTCCATCAGTGTTTCACAAATCAATCAAAATTATTGTTCCCACTGGAAAAATTTTCAGTGAATATATTTTAACTTTGAATGCTTAATGAGTAAACATATTTATTGAATATAAAGTTAAGATAGTTGATGAGGCTGGGTTAGGATTGTTGGGTGAAGTGACCTTATTTTAGAGGAACTAAGTTTTTAGATGCTACCACATGAATGGTACAGAATGAAGGGTATAACCTACTTACTTTTGACATGTTTAGTTTAATGTGAACATTCATATTTTTTCAAAGAAATTAGTAAACATTTATATTCCTAATTAAAGTTTCTTAAGTTTATGTAAATCAACATAATCAATCTGACTCATATTTTACATTATTACATAATGTTAATTATTTCTAAGTTTATATCATTGCAAATTAGTCCTCTTTATCATTTTAACCATTGTTATTTTTCCTTAGAAACCGTAGACAGTGTTCAGAGCTGTCAGTTCCTTGATGACAGAATTCTGCAGTGCATAAAACAGTATGCTGACAAGATTAAATCTGGTATACTGAATACTTCCAAGCTTCTCAAAGAATTGCTTTCTTGGAAAGTTTTGAGCACAGAAGACTATACAACCTGTTTTTCTAGCAGAAATTTTCTAAATGAAGCAGTGGACTATGTCATTCGTCACTTGATTCAAGAAAAGAATAGAGTAAAGACAAGAATATTTCTTCATGTTTTAAGTGAGCTTAAAGAAGTGGAACCCAAATTAGCCACTTGGATCCAGAAACTTAATAGCTTTGGTATGTCCCTTTATATTCTAGACCAGTACAGTTTAGTAGGAAGGATAAATATGGGTCTCTGAATCTTTTTTCATTTCCCTATCATATTGTTTTAAAATGTGAGACTATAAATTTGTGTGGTTAAAAATACTATTCCACACATACACATAATTTTTAGGTTATTTTATAGGTAGTTTACAATATACTTTTTAAAAAGTTGTAAACAAAAGAAAGATCAGTCGATAGGAAATCCTATATTATGCTAACCTATTTATAAATGTGTGGCTAAGTGAATACTAGGCACTGCCATGTATAAATGGTACATCGTGGAGTCTGCTATCTATGGAGAGCCATCTGGGATTGTACAGCTTAGTAGCTGTGTTGAGAGAGAAAAAGAATCTAAAATTTAGATTCTTTGAAGAAACATTTAGAAAGATGAGTAGATGAGACTAATTGCTTAGTGTCACCTATGGCAAATCTATATCTAGGATTAAGAGAAACATACCTTAATTTTATCTAGGGTTGAAGTAGGCTATCACAACTCACAGCATTATACAACTGTGTTACTCTGTTCTGACTTTCCTAATTTGGCTAGGAGGAGGGAAGGTTGAGCAAGACCCTCATACTGTCCCCAAGCAGACTTTTTGCCCAAGGCTATGCAGGGACTGTAGAAGGCAGCTGCAGATACAGTTGTTGTCTAGTACTAGGTAGGGGTGCTTTGAGCACTGACCAGGCTGCTATTTATTTTGGTAACCAGGATAGCAACTGGCCTAGAACAATAGTTGGCGGCTGTTAGATAAATGACTAAAGGGAGCCGTAGGAGAGGGACAGGGCCTTCAGCTGCAGTCCAGGAGTGGGGCCTGCCAAGCCTCTACCAGCCACCCCCAACTTGTCTGAGTTTTTAGAGACTTGAGGCTATTAGAATTCTTGGCTTTCAGAGATGATGTATTGGTCAGTTTCTGTCAGTAGAGACAAAATAAGATGGCAGCAAGCTTGGTTATGATTAGCTGAATGCTCCTGCTTTGAGCATAGGTATCCTTGAGTTTTTGGTCCCAGAAAGTTAATTCTAAGTGATAAGATTATCACTAGTGAATATAAGCTAAGTAAATTATAATTATTGCTTACTTTAATCTGCTTTAGGAGGTAGACTCAAGACTTGGAGAAGTAGATTTGTCAGGGTTATGCTACATGGGCAAGAATGCCAGCCCCTGTTAGTTCAGGTAAAAGCAGCTTTTGAGCCTTCCAGCCCACTGGCAGGCAAATGTGAATATGTCTTTTGATATAATCTATGTTTATTTTGAAGATTAAAGGTATTAATAAGGATGTATGCATAGTATTTAAAGTTGTAATTTTTATAGAAAACTGTAAAATGAGTTCGGATGTGTTCATTAGTCTTTTACTAAGGCCCTGATATAAAATTCACATTTATTTAATAAAAGCAAGCAATTTCCAATTCCTGGAATTTTACTTCTCACAAAAAAATATACAGTGGAGTCACATCTTGTGCATATTTAACAGAGAGAGGCTAATTTATATATGTCAGCAAAAGATGGAAGAAGGGAGAAAGAAATAGAGCACTGGAAAGAGGAAATTAACACTCAATAGTTAACTTAGTCTGCCTACATTCCCCTCACTGAGTGCAAGCTCTGATGTGGATGGGAATGTGAATGTGATATTTCTTCATTGGAAGTTCCCTTAAACCTTCTATTGTATAAGCATCTTATGTGGTAACTCATTCTGGCATTTAACGGTGCTAATTCTCATGCAGCATGAGCTCTGCAAGTTAACTTTTATCAGGAAGAAACAGCAGTCCAGGGTAACTTTGAGCAATTTCTGCTTTATTTGTTGACTTGAGAACCTAAGGCCCATTGAAGGTAGTGACCGTTTTGTATTCGAAGCATGAGAGGGAAATTGAGCAGAACTCCTTTCTGCTTTTTGGTGGCTATGTTAGTGAGGAGTGGGGCTTTTCACCATCCTTTCAGTAGGAGTGTATGAGATTGCAGCTGTCCAGTTTGCTGATTTAGAGAATGGAGAATAAAAGCAGGAATAGGATCCATCTTGATTTTTATAAAGGAGGGTAAGGACCCATGGTACTTTGGGAGGTAAGGAAGATTTTGCATATTGTTGATGTTTTACTACATATATTTACTATGGAATACATGTAGGAAAATATTATAAAATCTTGCTAGTTTATACTAATTGCAATGAAAGTAATTATGAATTAATGAAAATTTTTTTATATTTTTGAAGGAATTTATTGCTATACTTTCATTTCCTGAGTCTGATAAAGATAACTATAATGATAGAAACCTTCTAATACATACAAATTATTATAATTAGCATATCAATGTTACTTGGTGTTTCTAAAATGCATAATAGCCTGAACAAGTCTGTTCTCAAGTGTTTAAATGTTTTCACTGAAAATAGGAGCAAACTATAATGTAACTGCTTTCAAAGATAGAAACTAAATGTGATTTTACAGTAAATAATTTTTTCCTTCTTCTGATTTGGGTTTTGTTTTTGTTACAGGCTTAGATGCCACTGGACCTTTTTTTTCTCGTTATGGAGCATCTCTTAAGGAGCTTGATTTTAGCATCATGACTTTTCTCTGGAATGAGAGATACGGTCATAAACTAGGCTCTATAGAAGGAAAGAAACTTGATTATTTCTATGAGCCAACATCGTTGAAGGAAGCACGTTGTTTAATATGGCTCCTGGAAGAACACAGAGACAAATTCCCAGCACTGCACAGTGCTTTAGATGAATTCTTTGATATAATGGGTATGTGGACCAAATTTAGTTTTATGATATATCTAATCTTAAGGAAAGAAATCTGTGAAGGACCTAGCTTTGTTAATACTTAAGAAATAGTGTTGAAAATAGACAAAATAACAAAATAGAAAATAGTGAAAATTATTAGGTACAGCTGGTTTATTTGAGGAAGTTAGTGATTGACAATAGTGATTTTGTTATTATGTCATTGAAGCTTTTTTACTTTATTGAGCTGTGGAGATAACTCAAATGGTTATGTTATGCTAACTATACACCATGCTATACCCATTTTAGATATTTTTACAGCATCATGGGAAAATTGCATATTAAAAGAGCAGAATTTATTAGCAAATGGTGATTTGTGGCATTCAAGAAAACATTTGCCTATAGAAGTAGCTAATGTTTGCAGAATCTAGAACAGATACCACATCTGTTTTAATTGGAAGAGCCTAGAACTGGAAGTCAGGAAAAGTAGGCTGTGGTGCAGCTTCTTCCCTAAGTTAGTTCATTAAAAACCTTTTGGGCCTGGTGTTAGGTGTTACGAAGGAATTCAGAAATGCTTATGCTAGTCCCTGCCCTTAAGGACCTTATGTTCTAGAAAGTGCAATAGGAAGAATGCACTAATAACTGTAACATGGTGGTAAAGGAGGACCAGAGAAAGTGCCGAGGGCTTCAAAGGAAGGACCCAGCCCTTCTCCCTGGGAGAGAGAAGAGCCTTGGTGCAGAGAGACTGTGTGATGGGTTGTGAATGTGGAAGTGTAATTGGACAGGAGGTGTCAGGGCTTACAGAAGAGGGTGGAGGGCAATTGAGGGGCCTGTTTGAGTGACAGCATAGAGACCAGTTTGGCAAAATAGGCTAACTGACAGTTAATCCTTAGCTTCTCTTTGATCTTAGTTTCTTCATCATTAAAATGAGATGATTTGGAGCCAGTGATCTGTGTGGTCTCATTTTACTTCAAAATTCTAATATTCTTAAATTCTAAATTTTAATTTTTTACATTTCATATGACATGTACATCTTATGATAATCCCTTCCCCTCATCCCTCAGAATCAGAAATCTTTATATATTGTCAGGAGCTAGACTTCTAAATTTCACACTATTTGTTTTAAAGGGTATGTTAAAAATATCTGGTCTTGTACAATAGTGTCACAAATTTAAAAGTTTAAATGCAGTATAAGGTAGTGGAAAGCTTACTTTTGTTATGGTGCCTAGGAAAGAGCACGCTCAAGTATAGATGGCTTTATCTTTCCAGGGTACTGCTTCATGACTGAAGGTGACTTGCTACTTGATAGCCTGAGCCTGAATTTATTGCCATCAGTTTGCTGCTGCTGGTAATAAAATGCTGTCCTGGGGCTGAGCTTACAAAACCTGATGCATGTTTGGATCACACAGCAAGACAACTAAAAATGACACAATTCCCCATCAGCATGCACTCTTCCTAATTCTTGAGTTCTGTACCCAAACTACACAGTAGATCTGGCTGCCACTATTTCTCTTTTGGCCAGCCAAATTACTGGCCATCCCAACAGATTGTCAACTCCCATGGATCTGTCTTCCACCCTCGTCCCAGACATGTTTAGTTTTATCTCTTTTCATTTAAAGGAAGGATTATGTTTAAACTTTTCAAAATTCACTGATCTTTCAAGTCAGGGTATTCAGTAATGTCACCAGTAGTTGGAAGCCCCAAATTCTCTCCTGAACTCTGGAAGTGTATTTACCTGGGGAATTCCTGTTAGACAACCAAAGGGCCCCTTAAAGCAATATGACTGAACCCACTTGTCATATCCCCTAAATTTATCTCAGTTAACAACGTTGTTGTATATCTAGTTTTTAAGCAGGAAATCCTGGAATTAGTCTCAACTCTTTCTTTTTCTTAATGCTGTTACATAATAGTTTGCCACCAGTCCAGATAAGCTTTATCTTTGATCTGTCCTTTCCTGTCCATCCCACTTCCCTAGGCCAGGACCTCAGTTATCTTTCCATAATTAAACTATGACAGTAGCTGCAAACTGGTTTCAGTGTCTCTACACCCTCTGACTCCTAATCTTCCTCTCGTGTTGCAGCTAGTGATTCTTGACACCTGTCTGATCCTGTAACTATCTGATTTGGAAAACATTTTCTTAGTTTTGCCTACAAGTTAAGTTCAGGGCATCTGTCTGGGTTCCTCATCACTTTCCTTGTCTGCTCTCTGATCACATACCCCATTTCTGGCTGTGTCCAAACATCCCTTGTGCTCTCTTTCCTCCTGTCTTTGCTCAGGCAGTTTCCACAACCACGCCCCATCTCTACTTATTAATTTCGTGTCTAACTTAAGTGTCCTCTCCTCCTCAGAACCTCCATGCCCCTTCTCATTCCCCTCCCCATGCAGACTTGCTCACTCTATCAGCTTTGCTGCTGTGCACTTAGCACACCAGGTTACAGGTGTTTGCCTGTTGTCTTGTTGGCAGTAGAACACAAGCTCATCAATGGCAAGGACTGTCTTATGCATCTCTGTATTCCCAGCACCCAGCATAGATGGCATCTAGAAGGCATTCAAATTATGCTGATTTGGATTGAAATTTTGTGGTTCTTTGTAGTTGGTTTCCCATTAAGTTGGCCATTTTGTCCTTGATTTCTAAAGGACAAATAGTGTCAAAGCCAAATAAGAAATAGAAACAGTCTTGTTAGTAGTATCAGGTGTAGTTTTTAGGGGATAGTGTATTGTATGGAAATGTAAGTGTTTAGTATCCTCACAAAACCATCTGTGTCTTCCTGCAGATAGCCGCTGTACTGTGTTAAGGAAACAAGACAGTGGTGAAGCTCCGGTGAGTTACTTAGTCACTAAATCTTATGTTCTAATTTATGTTAGCCAAAGGATGATGAGGAGGACCCAGGCTAGTGTTTACTGATGTCACAGGTAGCATTCCAGAACCAAATTAAGAGAAATTCTGCATAATGTGTATTATTTCAGTAGAAAGTTAATGGCACCAGTCTTTCTCTTGGAATTGGGAGCAATAATCAGCAAACCCTAGGCTTAAATTAGACAATTTCAGTTTTACACCTAATTAATGTTAATATTAGAAATAGAAAAGAGTTTATCTCCTGGCATAAAAATGAAAAGTTATCTTTAATGATTAAAATTTTAATGTTTTGCTCTGGAAGAAAAACAAAGGGACTTTGTTTTGAGTGGCTCCAGATTGAGTTTAAGTTAAAACAGTTGAAGAGTTGTCTTTTGTAGTAGGTTGTAGTTGACATTTATTCTTTCTGACAGTTCAGAAATTCTTTAGCTTTAGAAAGTGATTAAATAGAGAAAAGAAAAGCATGGTGGCAGTTTTCAAAAAGAAAGATGCTTGTTTACTGATTTGCAGGAGTAAATCATCTATGTATATGTGATTTTTTGTTTTGTTTTTTAGAGACAGACTCTTGCTCTGTTGCCCAGGCTAGAGTACAGGAAAGAAAAAGAAGTTATTATAGCTCACTACAACCTCAAACACCTGGGGCTTAAGCATTCCTCCTGCCTCAGCCTCCCAAATAGCTGGGACTACAAGTGCACCACCATGCCCAGCTAATTTTTCTATTTTTTGTAGCAATGAGGTCTCACTTGTGCTCAGGCTGGTCTCGAATTCCTGACCTCAAGTGATTCTTCTGCCTTGGCCTTCCAAAGTGCTAGGATTACAGGCGTGAGCCACTGCATCCTATGTGTGAAATTTTATCTTAATCTGCTCTATCAAATATTGCCTGCCTGAGTATGGAAACATGGATAACATACCCTGTGAGGAGTTGAATGCTTCTTTATTGACTATGCTCCAGTGTCTGGCCAGGTGTAGAATGTCTACTATGACTTAGTAAAAGGAATATCATAAAAATGCTATTATGGCATATAACTGGAATTACTTAAAAGTCTAATTAATTACTTCAAATGACACATACCATGTTGAACGTTACCAACGTTCCAGGTAAAAACGTTGGAACGATTTAATTTTGGCTATACTTTTAGGCATTATTAAATTCTTTTTTATTTTTTGTTATCATAGCATTTGGGCTGATACACTATAGTGTTATTTTTGTCAAACAATTTTATATACATTTAACTTATGACTAGTCTATGAAAATCGATATGGTTTCTTTATATTGAGTTTCATAATGCCATTATTAGAGTGTTCATTGATTTTTTTTTCTTCTTCCATTTTTTAGTTTAATTCTACCAAAGTGAAGAACAAAGGAAAGAAAAAGAAGCCAAAAGATTCAAAGGTATATAATATTATCTGTATTCCTGTCTAAACTCTCCATAATTAATTGGAGATATAAATTAGAGTTAAGCAATTCTTGGGATATTTTGAAACATCTTGTACAGAAGGACTTTCTAGGCTTTAACGATAGATATTTTGGCAATCTGCATATTGAGAAAATTTAAGGTTTACATTATATAAAAGTTAACTCTTGAAAGAAACTCTTACTCTTTACTGTGCTTTTTATTTTGTGCATATTTCTGAGTGAAAACATTTGTCATCTTGTAGAAGTCTATGGGTGGTCATAGAGCAGAGTGGCTAAGAAGGCTTTGGGGTCAGCAGACCTGGGTTCACATCTTGGTTCCACCAGTTATCTTTGTGACCTTGGGCAAGTTATTTCACATCCCTGTGCTCTAGTGCTGTGGTCCCCAATCCTGTGACCAGTCCATGGCCTGTTAGGAAATGAGCAGCACCTTAACTCCTGAGCTCTGCACCACCCTCCCCAAGGCCCCTATCGCCAGTTTCTGGAAAAATTGTCTTCCATGAAACTGGTCCCTGGTGCCAAAAGGTTGGGGACCACTCTCTAGTGTGCTCATCTGTGTAATAAGAATAATTGTGGTACTTATTAATAACTAATGGAGTTAGGCTTATTCAGTAGTAAGAACTTAGTAAGTATCATCTATTTTTATTACTAAACTGAATTTTATTGGGAGATAAGAAAGCAGAATAGTAGTTTCTAGTATCAGAAGATTTTGTTGACGCTATTATGTTTATATTCAAATATTTATCTAAAATAATCAAACTAAAAGTGATTACTACTAATTATATAACAATCTCAAGATTGATAGGATCCTTTCCTTCCACTCACCAAAGGCTCTCCTTGCAAGTCCATGAGTTAAGCAGGGCATAAGTCTCATGGTGGGTTCTTCATGGCTCTCACGTATGTTGCGGGGGAAGAAAAGGGTACAGGGATGAGAGAGTGAGTAAATCTTAGAAGCCTTGAGCTCCAGTAAAACCTTTCTTTTTATCTTTGACTATATGCCTTTAGTTTAGCTAAAATGGGAGTTTAAACTGAGTGACATTTTAATTTTTTTGGAGCATTAAAAACTACCCTAAATGTTAGTTTGAGCTTACTTGTGGCTGTTTAAACTTACTATTAATATGTGTTTCTATTCATAGAAAATTTGAATAGGACTTATATATTAGCAATTTGCATGCATGTTTATATAAGCATTCCTTAATTTTAATGGTATTTTTTTCTTTAATGGCATTTTAAAGTAGAAAATCATTGTCATTTTCTGTCTTTTAAACCAGCCTATGTTAGTTGGGTCTGGAACAACTTCAGTAGCACCAAATGAGACTATCACTTCAGGTGAAAACCATAAGTAAGTACAATTTTAAATTTTTTTCTTCATTTTTAACTCAAACGTTTTTACTTAACAAATGGGGTTAATTGAATGTACTATAAACTTGAGTTTTATTTCTCTAACTTCCATTTCTAAAGATGTGCATCTCTGACAAGTCGATGTAATCTATATTGATTGGATTTATAGCATGGCTTGTAGGCATTAAGAATTCATTAAGGACCAGGCAGGGTGGCTCATGCCTATAATCCAAGCACTCTGGGAGGCTGAGGTGGGAGGATCACTTGAGACCGGCCTGGGCAACATAGCAAGACCTTGTCTCTACAAAAAAATGTTTTTAAAATAGCCAGTTGCAGTGTCATGTGCCTGGCAAGCACCTGTAGTCCCAGCTACTTGGGAGGTTGGAGCGGGAGGATCCCTTAAGCCCAGGAGTTGAGGCTGCAGTGAGTTATGATTGTGTCACTGCACTCCAGCCTGGGTGACAGAATGAGATCCTATCTCTTAAAAGAAAAAAAAATTTAAGGTGTGTTAAAGTCACAAGACTGATGACATTCATTCGATAAATATATATTGAGAACCTACTATGTGTGAGGTATTGTGAGAAGATCCTAGAAAAATGTCTGGAAAATATTCTTTAAAATATTTAATTAAGAGAGTGTCTTATTGATAATTACTAGCATTTTTGTTATAACAAAAGAGAGGAAGATGTTTTGGAAACACCATATGAGGTTATGATTTATTTAACCTTATATGTTGATAATTTTAATGGCATCTGGTTGTTAAAACTGAGTTTTCAAGAAACAGTAAATACACATAAGATATAAAACTAGTGAATAGCAATAACCTTTTTATATCGTATTCTTTTATGGACCAAAAACCCACAAAATGTTTTTTTTTTCACATGAAATTTGTACATTTTCATGGATTCTTTAAGTGGAGGAATTGTTTTAAGTTAAAATAATAAGAGACTTAGTACTTTTAGGCTATTGTAACAATGTATCATAAATGGAGTGGCTTACAAACAGCAGAAAATTATTTTTCACAGTTCTAGAAGCTGGGAAGTCCAAGATCAAGGCTCTGGCAAACTTTTGGAGTGTGGCGAGGGCCCACTTTTTGGTTGATAGATGGCACCTGCTAGCTGTGTCCTCCCATGGTGAAAAGGAAGAGGCAGTTCTCTGGGCCCTCTTTTATAAGGGCATTAAAACCATCCATGAAGGCAGAGCCTAATCACCTCCCATAGGTTCCACGTCCTATCACCATCATATTGCTGTTTAAGTTTCAACATGTGAATTTTGAGGGACACATACATTCAGACCATAACATAGTGTTTACTGAGATTAACACTTATGTACCAGGCATTTTTCTAAGGGCTTTACATATACAAACTCACTTAATCCATTCATCCAGCCTAGGAGATAAGTACTAGGATTATGTTCATTATAAAGGTTAGGAAACTAAGGACAGTGTAGTTGAGTGACTTGTCTAAGAACACAAAGCTTATAAATAGCACAGTCGGTTTAAATCATGCCCACATGATTTTAGAGCCCATACTCAAACTACTATATCTTTTTAGAATGCTGAAATCTTAAACTCATTTTTAAAAAAATCTTTTTATTAGTACTTTTTAGCAATCTCAGTCTCACTTATTAGCAGTTATAATAAAAATCTTCATTTGCCTCTTAGCCCTTTAACAAGTTATAATAATACAATGTTGATTATTTAAAAAGGTGAAGTTTTAACAAATTTGTTTCTTGTAGCAAGACTGACTAGTTAATTGAAAGTGCTTACTCAGAATGTCAGATATAATATTTTTTAACTATAACTATGGAAGGGTAGCTTTTCTGCATTAAGTAAAGCTGAGTAACATTTTACTGTCGCCATATCTATTTCTGCTAGCCATTCTTATGGTTAAATAATAAGGCAAAAGTTTATTAACAAAATTAACTGGTTTCTTGGGTATTTTTTAAATCAGCAGGCGAAATTCAGATTCTGCAGGCCCATTTGCAGTGCCTGATCATCTTCGGCAAGACGTGGAAGAGTTTGAAGCTCTCTATGACCAGCACAGTAACGAATATGTTGTCCGCAATAAGAAGTTGTGGGACATTAACCCAAAACAAAAATGTTCAACTCTATATGAGTAAGTAGATTAAAATTCCTACAGTTGTTATTGTATACTGAAGCTGCCAATTAAAGATCAGAAGTTGTTTACTTTGTATTTTTTATATTTATTAAAGGGCTCATTTATTGGTTCTCATCCTCCCGGGAAGAACATTTTTAAAGATTTTGTCAGATATTACACAAAATTAATTGAGGATTATTAATTATTTAGAGTCCTAATGATTATTGGTTTTGTCAGTTTGAGCTGCTAATGTAGATACTTTTTACTTCTAAAACTGTTCTAGTATTTCCTGATGGCACTGATAGTTTCCAGCCATAATCTTTTTATCACAAATTCTAAGGTATTCATTTAACAAATAATAATTTGATCTCATTGTCCTTATGTTGTTGGTTACAATTTTGGCATCTCATAATTCCAGTGACAAGTTAGGTAGCTTGGTGAAGTATTATCCTATTATTGGGAAAAGGATATTAGGGTGCTATTATTAATTCTGCTTGGATAGTAGTTGTTTAACTGGGATGATAGTATAGTTGTAAAACCCTACATCCCTGTGTTATATTAGAGACTCAACTTCCTGACATTGATCTAATGAAAGAGAAACATATTTTTCTTTTTAAGTAACTCTGAGTGTGAATTACTTTTGGATTGAAAATGTGAATGTGAAATTTAACAAATTGAATTTAAGTAGGGTGGATAAAACAAAGAATGAAGGAAAATCTAGGAAACAGCTTACCATTTTGAGTTTGGCATTAATAAATAGCGCATGAGGTCTTCCTTAAGAAAAGAAATTCAGGTCTAAGATCTGTAATAGAAGATTAATTTAAAAGCTAACTCTTCTGAAAATCCTGTCACTCATTCACAATATGGTCATTTCTTCTACTTCCCTCAGTTATATTATTCCTATATAGTCTTGTTATATGCTCTTAGGTCCCTCTTCATAGTTTTTCTTTAGAGTTCACTTGCTGAGCAAATCATATTTGCAGAAACTGCATGACAACATGGAAACAGCTGCAAAATTATTCTACTATTTCTTTCTTTTCTTTTCTTTTTTTTTTTTTTTTTTGAGACGGAGTCTCACTTTGTTGCCCAGGCTAGAGTGAATGCCGTGGTGTCAGCCTGACTCACAGCAACCTCAGACTCCTGGGCTCAAGCAATCCTACTGCCTCAGCCTCCTGAGTAGCTGGGACTACAGGCATGCGCCACCATGCTCGGCTAATTTTTTCTATATATATATTAGCTGGCCAATTAATTTATTTCTATTTATAGTAGAGACGGGATCCCGCTCTTGCTCAGGCTGGTTTTGAACTCCTGACCTCGAGCATTCCACCCGCCTCAGCCTCCCAGAGTGCTAGGATTACAGGTGTGAGCCACCACACCCGGCCTACTATTTCTTAAAATATGCTAGAATTTGCTTCAAGCATGCCAAACTGAACCTGAAGTGTGTAGTTTTCAGTAGCTTTCTCTCTTTTTTTTTTTTTTAGGTTTCTCTAACTTTTATTTGTTAAACATTTTTTTATTATTTCAGCATATTATGGGGGTACAAATGTTAAGGTTATGTATATTGCCCATGTCCCCCCTCCCCCATCGAGCCAGAGCCTCAAGCGTGACCATACCCCAAACGTTGCACATCTCACTCATTATGTTTGTATATACCCATCCCCTCCCCCCTCCCACCTGCCCGACACCCGATAAATGTTATTACCATGTGTCCACTTGGGTGTTGATCCGTTAATACCAATTTGCTGGTGAGTACATGTGGTGCTTGTTTTTTCATTCTTGAGATACTTCACTTAGTAGAATGGGTTCCAGCTCCATCCAGGAAAATATAAGAGGTGCTATATCACCATTGTTTCTTAGAGCTGAATAGTACTCCATGGTATACGTATACCACATTTTATTAATCCACTCATGTATTGATGGGCATGTGGGTTGTTTCCACACCTTTGCGATTGTGAACTGTGCTGCTTGTCTCTTAAAGATTTTATTGCCATTATAAGCAATTTTATGAGGGGAATAAATAGATTGATTTGCTTTTATTTTGAGAGAAAATTTTTCTCTTATAATAGAAAACCAAGAAAGTACAGCATATTACATTTCAAAATATAATTCTTTGAATTTTCAAGAGTAAAAACATGGTAGCTTAAGAATGATGATTTGTTTATTGGCCAGTCAATGAAAGAAATGAAAATGAAACTATTGCATATGAAAAAAATATAGGATAGAAAAATATTGGACAAGGAGTCAAGAATACTGGGATAACTGCAATGAATTAACCTTTTCTTGACCTTAGTATTTCACCTTAAAATAGGGAATTGGACTAACTTATTTTTAATGGCTCCTTCTAGGTCTAATATTTTAGGATTTAGATAATTGAATCAAATTATTCTGCATTTAATTTTTCTTAACATCACTGTAGTGGTATTAGTCGGTCAAGATTTATTGACCACATAAGATTAGGCACTATTGCAGATTCCAGAAAAAGTAGAAGGTGTAGTCCTGTCATGCAGCCTGCAACATAGCAAGAGAGCTAAGATGATCACTGGAAGGATTACAGAATATTGCAAATAAAAATGACATTCCAAAATAAGAATCATGGGCATGTAGAAAACAGCGATTTTCAAAGGGGCATTCCTAGTTAGTAGGATGAGAGTACTTTTTGAAATGTTTTTTCTATTCCTGTCCTTTCTCCTATGCTGACAGTGACATGCACTGGTGTTCTAAAAGTTTATTTGTGACTGTTAAGACACAAATGGTCATCATCAAATTATGAAAATGTTATAATACATATAGAAATATGTACACATAACAGCTGTTAATATCTCTGGTGTAATTAGCTTTATTTTTTTTTTTTATTCCTGTTATGTACAATGTGCTCAATTTTTTGCCTCTGGTTCTTAAGTATAGGAATACAAGCCCTATTAGAGTCTAAGACTTTGAAGGGGCCAGATGAGAGAGGAGATTAATTTCATAATTGGGCCAAAACTGAAATGATCATGTAAGCCTCACCATCTTTGTTGTGTCTAGCATCTTTTGTTATAGCCTTAGAGTCTTTCGTATTTACTAAACAGCCACACCAGCACCAGGGTTCAGTGTTGATGGGCTGATTCTAACCCCTGTATAACACTAGATTATGAAGAAATCGTGTTTATGCTATTTTGGATCCAGTGTTTATCTGACTGAGTCTATTCTCAATGCATAGATGAGTCTAAATATAGAGTTAAAGTTCATTTTGTGTTGCATTTCAAGTAATAGTAGCTATAAAAATATAATTCACAGTATGGTTACAGTACCATTTCTCTTTGGGCTAGGAACTTTTGTTGAGTTAAATTTTATTCTGCTTGAACATATGAAAAATTTGTTGCTACTTAAGCCAGTGGACAAAAATGTGGAGGTTCTAATTCTTTGAAAAAAACTTCTTTCTGATTTCAAAAGTAATAGTATAAATTATTGTGGGAATTTTAAAAAAATTTTTTAAGCTTAAAGGAAAAATGAAAATTATGAATAATTCTGCCACTCAGATATAACCACAGTTAACATTTGCTGTGTATTCTTTTAGACTTAAAATGTATATGTATAAAAACATTTTTTTAAATTTGCAAACTATGATTTTACTACATACTCAATCTTGTTTTTGCCTTTTTCACCTAAAAATGCATGATATTTCTTCATTTCCTTAAGTATTCTTCAGGAACATGATTTTTACTAGCTGCTTAATAATCATCACCTATATCTGCATTGTCATTTGTATTGCTAATCCCTCTTGTGGTTGATACGTTGGTGCTGAATCACTGAGAACAGTTTCCTTTCATGTGGTCTCTGTTCTTTAGTTATCACATTTCAGATTTAAGTATTTTAATCCAGGTAGAAAAGCTTTATTTTTCAGTGATACTATTTAATATCCATATGGAGAACAAAACTATACAGTCCAACAAATGCTTTACTTTTTTAAAAAAGCAAATACGCATACACCATTCATCAGTTATTCTGCTATTGCCTAATGGCAGCTTAACAGTGACTGGAAAGGGGGCTCTCTTTGGACAGGTGTTAGAGGCCGATGCTGTTTACACTGATCAGCCAAAACCTCAACAAAGATTTCTGTTCCTGAGACTACAGTGCTTTTTTCTTTTTACCTGACTCTCATTTGGAGTCTTCTGCTTTTAGAAATTTCTCTATAAAAATGAAGTTTGTTGGGAATTTTAAAGCAAGGCCATATTTTACCTTACCTTGAAAAACAACATGTATATGGGGGAGTTTGAATTGTAAGGATTATTCTAAGAGAAAAATATTCATTGTAAAGCACATTAAAGGAGATTTTGGAGTGGCTTTTAAGTATTTAGAGTAGCAATGCTAACAAAGAGAAGTGGTATTTGGTTTTTATCAGAGTAGGGGTTCAAATAGAGGTTAATCATTTCTAAGTGTCCTGTGCATTCACCTGCACAAAAAAGTATTTCCTCTTGATTCAGAGAAGTGCTGTATTTATCCTCCTTCTAAATAAGCTATCCTTCTTGTTAACATTACTTTACTAAGAAAGCCCCTTTGGAGGCGGCTTCTAAGTGGGTACCTGGTGTGACTTATGCAAGTTATTGCCTCTGTACAAAGAGAATACAGAATTCAGTTGGAAGAAGACCTCCTTGAGTCTGATGCAATAGTGGGAAAAGGAAATGGACTGAGAACTGGAATGAACAAACTCAGTTTGCAACTAGAGTCAGACTAAGGGGCCATTACTGTGAAGCTGGGGCTTGGATTATATCGGTTTATTGGTGAGACATGGTTAATTTCAGTCCCTCTGAATCATTGAACATTCCTATACAGAAAAAATTTAATAGATCTACTGTTTGCAAATTTAAATAGAATTTTTTTTTAAGATTTGATTTCCTTGGCATTTTTTTTTTTTTTTTTGAGACAGAGCCTCACTCTGTTGCCTGGGCTAGAGTGCTGTGGCGTCAGCCTACCTCACAGCAACCTCAAACTCCTGGGCTCAGGGGATCCTCCTGCGCATGTGCCACTATGCCTGGCTAAATTTTTATATATATATCTTTAGTTGTCCAGCTAATTTCTTTCTATTTTTAGTAGAGAAACGGGGTCTTGTTCTTGCTCAGACTGGTCTCGAACTCCTGAGCTCAAACAATCCACCCGCCTTGGCCTCCCAGAGTGGTAGGATTACAGGCATGAGCCACCACTCCCAGCCTCCTTGGCATTCTTGTTACTTTTCCTGAATAAATTTTGTTGCTTGCTTTTAAATAGATTATGTAATTGGAATTTATAAAATAATTTTTTATTCCCTTTTGCTTTTTCTCAAAAAAAAAAAAAGAGGCAAAGGTTTATTTTCTAGGGGGTAGACAAAATTTTGTTTATAGTATTATTCATTGCAGTTAACCTTATGTTTCTTGTTGGGGAAGAGTTGAGATCAGTGGGAAGTTAACAGTAGTATTTTGCTTTGGGAGAATAATCATTTTTTTTTTCCAGTTAAACATTTGCAATTACCTCATTATACTAACTCATGTAAATGTAAATTTTTTCCAAGTTACTTTTCTCAGTTGTTGGAGGAACACGGTCCTTTGGATATGAGTAACAAGATGTTCTCTGAAGAATATGAATTTTTCCCAGAAGAAACACGACAGATACTAGAAAAAGCAGGAGGTTTAAAATCTTTTCTCCTGGGATGTCCTCGTTTTGTTGTGATTGACAACTGTATTGCATTGAAGAAAGTTGCATCACGGCTCAAGAAAAAAAGGAAGAAGAAAAACATTAAAACCAAAGTAGAAGAAATTTCAAAAACAGGAGAATATTTACGAGCTAAACTACCACTGAATCCAGCTGCTAGGGAATTTAAACCAGATGTAAAGTCCAACCCAGTGTCTGATTTATCTTCAGCATCAGCTTCTGAAGATGTGCAGCCCAAACCTCCACCTGCTAATTCTCCCAAACCAGCTTGTGAAGATATGAAGCCCAAACTGGTAGCCGATGATTCTTCTACACCAGTTTTTGAGGATGGGAAAGCCAAAGAAGTCCCTGCTAATTCTCCCAAACCAGTCTCTGAGGATGCAAATCACAAGCTCGTTTCTTCTGATTCTGTTACAATAGTTACTGAGGATGTGAAACTAACCTACTGGACTCAATCCCATTTGGTCACAGGATTCTGTACATACGTTCCTTTTCAGAGATTTGATATCACCCAGACAACTCCAACGTACATAAACGTGTTACCAAGTTTGCCCCAGTACGCCAGCCTATATGCACCTTTGGCCAATATTTCTTCTGAGTATCAGCTGCAAAGATCAATACCAGTGGTGGCATCTTTTGTAGCCGATGACAGAGCAGATAACAACGCTGCTGCATATATTGAGGGTCATTTGAGTCCTGAGAATGCCACTGGCGACCAGATTGCTTCTGGAACGCAGATCCCTGAGGGCTCTTTGGGAACATCTGTAAAGTCATCGTGCAGCACAGGTGATGCTGAAACAGTCCTGAGTGAGTCTGACATAAATGATGGGCACTGTGGAAATTCTGACAACAAATGTGAAGTAAATCTGGAAAGTACCAATGCAGTAACAAATATTCCACATACACAGATGGTTGCTGTGCAGGTAAGACTTAATAGAAAAAGTCTCCTTCGTGCTGAAGTTAAATTTTCATTTATATTGCCATTATATTTACTAAAATCCTTAAAATTGATTGACTTTATAATGGTTCCTGAAGCTTTTGCCTGAAAATATTTTTAAAATATGAACCTTTTTGTGAGGTGTGACAGATAATCTTGTCAGAGTGAGTTTGAGTCCAATATGTAATACCCTTCTTACCTACTCAAAGTCTACGTAAGTTGAGAAGCAAGATAAAGGAGTCAGCAGATGGAGCCATACCATCACTTTAATAATTAATAAAGGTACAGAAGGAGGATGTGGCTATTTCTGTAGAATAGTATATGTGCTAACAGTGAAGCCCTCGTCACCCTGCCTTACCTACCAATTACGGGAGGGTAAGGCTAGGAGGCCCTCTTGGCTTGGGGTGCCTACACCATAGGAGTTACTGCATGGAGGAGGAAGGGCAAATGTGCTGGCAGCTCTGCAGAGAGAATGAGAGTCTGGGCTCCACATGCCCAGCTTCTCCTGCCAGACCAGAGGAGGAATGAGGGTGTTAAAAAGAGATAACCAGACAGAGAGAAACAAGAGGAATGTGTGTGAAGAGTTCTTTCCTAACAAGCACAAGAATAAATTGAGGTTGTTCTATAGTTGCCTTTAATAGGGTTTGAATTCATTAGATCCTTATTAAATTGCTCCACTCCTCATTATGTTCTTTATTTTCATGGAAGCTTTGAAAAAAATGTTAAGAGTAATGAACCAAAATCATTTTCAGTTATATTAATTCTAAATAACTTTCCTAATATAAATATTTATAGAAAGCATGGAATATAACCTAAATTGGGGGGAGGAAAGTCTGGAAAAAACTAAGAACATTCTTCAAAATGTTATTACATGATAGATTTATTTTACTAGAACAATTGAGATAAATTGAGTTTAAATGTTTGCTTTGCCCCATAGGTTTCTTGGAACATAACATACCAGGAAGTCAATACTGAGCCATATGATCCTTTTGAGGCACAACATGTGAGTCAAATTTTATTAAACTGTTTAAAAGTTTATTCATTAATTTGTTTAGATGAGATGATGCACTAGAACCATTTTGGAGCCAGCTAATTCCATACACAGTTATCATGGAATAAGTTTGGAACATAACCAAAAAATTGTTTTGTTTTTGTTGAAATTTGAGAAGGGGAGGCAAAGGAAAAGTTAATTTTTCTAGCGTATTTATTTCAAAGTATAATGGCTTTATTGGTTTTAACTGGTATAATGAGCATGTAATAATTTATAAATAAGTTTATTCATATGAATAACACAGAAAGGTATTATAAATGTCTTTACTGCTATAAGGATGATTCAATTAGAAAATCTATTAATATAATTTACTTTGTTAATATATCATAAGAGAAAAATTATCTGATCGCCTCTATAGTTGCTGAAAAGGTACTGGATAAAATTCAAGTCCCTGTCTTGACCACAACTAGTAAGAAAATGAAAATTAATGATTATTTCTCAACATGCTACTATCTTTCTCTCTTAAGCCAAAAGCTATCATATTTTATTAATGGCAAAACATCACCATTAATACTTATTATTATCCTAGAGATACTGACAAAATTCTATATGAAACAGAAATAAGATGGAAAAGAGAATGTAAACGTTATCATTATTTACAGAGGATAAGATTGTGTGCTGGGAAAATCCAAAGTGATAACTGAAAATCTACACCAAAATGTAAGATAATTTGAAAAGATGATTAGATACAAACTAATACCTTTCCATATACAAACAGTAGCCTGTTAGTATATTAGAAGCAAAAAAACCCAAAAGTTTATGAGAAGAAAATATTCCATCTTCAATAGCAACAAAAAGATAAAATACTTAAATCTATGTAAAGAAACTTTACACATAGCTGCCAAATTTGTGCTGGCAGTTGGCAGGGGGCTTCAGTTACTTGTGTTGTGGACTTCCAGGTAGCACTGCTTGAGTGTCCTCCTGGGGCCTGGTTTTCCCCAAAGTAAGTGATCCAAGGCAGAAGCAGCGATGACTTTTATGACTTGCTTTAGGAAGTCATGCTCCATTATTTCTGCTATGTTCTCTTGGTCACACGGACCAACCCACCAACCCTGATACATGGTAGGAGAGGTCTATACAAGGATGTGAGTATCAAGAGGCAAGGATCTTTAAAGCTATCTTAGAGGCTGGTTACTCCACAGGATTTGTTTGTAACTAGACAAATTGATTTTAAACTTCACATGGAAAAGTGAACAACAGGAATGGCCAGGGAAAAGGAATTATAAAAAAAGGAGTTATATAGCTAGATAGCAAAACACAGTATAAATCTGTATTATCACATACATAGACCATTAAAATAAGAGTCCAATAGAATAGAAGAATATAGAAATTTAAGGTATAATAAAGATGATAAATCATCAGTGAGCAAAAGGTAAATTACTAAACACATGGTTTTATGAGAAATAGGTTGTCATCTAGAAAAAATTAATTTGGAGATCTACCTTATTCCTTATACCATAATAAGTTTCAGGCAGATCAAAGATTTAAATATATAAAATGAACCCATAGAAGTACTCTAGAAAAAAAGGGAAAATTTGTTCATAAGATTAATAAACAGCATGGCAAAAAAGTATATTTATATGCATATACACATATATAATGTATATATTAATTTGCATAGCATATATATTTATAATAACTAATACACACGTATGGTATCAAAACATGTGACAAACTAGGACATTATTTGCAGCATAGGACAGAGGGAGAGCTATTAACAATATCCTTAACGTATAAAGTTTCTATAACTCAATAAGGAAAAGATGAACAACCTATCACAAAATGGGAGTGGATGTGAATAGATAATACACAATAAAAGAAATATAGATGATTTTTAAACATATAAAAATATGCACAACCCCACTTGAAATAAGAAAAGCAGTCATTTACATGTTACTGAAATGTACATGCATATTACTGGGAAAGGCAGTTTGGAATTGATCTGCCCTCATATGTGTTTTGAGACCAGTGAGCAAAGATACTTGTATATTTGTTTCATCTATATTTGTATCAGCAAAACATTTAATATAATCTAAACATCTATCAATAGTAGACTAGTTAAATTATGGTATATCTGTATAATGAAATATGCCATTCTTTAAAAATGAAGTGGTTCTATAATTACTGATATAGAATAAATCACAAGATCAAAGGTACAGTTAAGTAGGAAGAAGTAAAGTTAGAACTTTGTGTTTCTTCTATTTGTACAAATATCTTTATAGCTTTTGCTAATTATAAAATTAATATACAGTCTTGAAATTTTTTTAATTGAATAATACTGGAAATTATGAAAGAGGAATTGAAAATCATCTTTCTTGTCACTCATGTTAATATTATGATGTGCAGCTTTCCAGGCCTTATTTAAACATTTACATATAACTAAGCAATATCTTTTAAAAGATGAGATCATGCCATATATGTTGTCTTTAAAATTTGCATTCTGCAATTAATGTATTATGGACTTTTTTCCACATCAGTAAATACAGATTTATAGCATCATTTTAAATGGATGCTTGTTATTCCATTGTACAGATGTATAATAATTTATTTGACTGATTTCTTACTGTTGAACATTTAGATTGTGTCAGCTTCTCATGCTTACAAACAGTGCTGTAGTGAACACTTTTGCCTGTATGTGATGAGTATATACTGAGTAGAGTAATGGGTGTTCTTTTGCCATACTTAGCTTTAAGCCAGGTAGGTTCTGTTGTTTATTTGAGTGGTTTTGACCCTCAAATAAATATTCTATCAGTGATGGGAACATTCACAAATGCTTTCTTAATTTAGCTCTTATTTCAGGACTTTGATGCTAGTCTAGTTGACTGCTGGTTTCTCAACCAGTGAGACTTGCACTTGAATCCCAGCACTTTCCCACTTTCCTAGCTGCTTTCTTCTGGGGCTTTGAGAAGTTGCTTCACATCCCTAAGCCTTGATTTACTAATTCAATAAAGGAGAAAATAATATATTTTTCACAGAAGTGTGGTGAAGTTTAAATGTAATAACATAGACGTGGCATTTAACTTCCTATCTCTGTTGCTGATTTGGGGCATACAGATTAATTCATAATACCAAGTTGCTATTCATCATGATCTGTTTGCTGAACTGAGAATGAATATAGAGGTAACTGAGATCTTAAACCATAAAGTCTTACTTCTGAATCATAGTGCAGTTGACCATTTAATTTATTATGTAAATATGGACTCTATTCATAGTAGTAAAGTTTTAGTCTGGGCAGACATAAATTGAGATTCTCCAAGGCAAACTGACATGTATGGTCATCCTACCCATAGTTCACAGTTCTCTAACTGATGATTCACAGAATTTCATGTAGTTGGTTCCCTGTCTTTTTATACTTGGAAGATGCTAAAGTGTTGGGGGAAGGTACAGGGGATGTTGAAGGTGGACCAGATTTGGCCTGGGTTAGATTTCCAAAGGCAAAGCCCAGCTGCTACAGGGAGGGCAGTCACCTGTAGCTGGGAGAAGTTGCCAGCATCAAACAGATACTCTTTCAGATAGAAATGTGTGGTTGTTGCCAGGCTTAGCAGTATGAAAGGTTTCAAAAAATACTAACATAATAACATTTTTTGTTCACCACCATTTCATATTTTAGAATGGTCTCTGGTTGCTTTCTTTTTTTAAGTTGGTCCAAGAAACAGATAACTGAAAACAATTCATTGATAATATTTTAACTTGTCTTTTCGAAATAACCAGCAACTATTTATTAATATTTGAAACACTTAAAAGTAGGGCCCAGATTAATATGTCCTGTTCATATCTAAAATATGCATTATATATGTAGCTTTTTAAACCTAATAAATACTTCTTGGTGTTAATTATGAAGAGTGATATTTACCTCAAACTATTGATCTAATACTGAATCTTTCTAAAACAAATATTCAGAGCTATTTATAGTACAGATTGGAAAGTTTTATTATGCATTTCAATAATATGAATGATTATATTTATCAGATAGCTTTGCCAAACAATATTTAGAGGTTTTGAATTCCTGAATTATTGTGACATTTCTCTTGTAAATTTTCACCTGCCTTTTATTCTCCTGTATTTTGAGAGAGTTCAGAACAAGATCATACATAGGCATTTTTAACTATTTTGAATAGATAATTATCTATTTTGAATAGATAATTTCATAATTTACTTTTAGGGAGAAATCACACAGATTGAAAAGGAGTACCAAGTATTACAAGAGCAGCTTAAAGAAGCATGTGAAAATTATGAGCAGATAAAACTTAAAAGCTCAGAAGAGACCAGGGACCTGGAAGAGAAGTTGAAAAGGAACTTAGAAGAAAACAAGGTAATCCTATCTCAAACCTCTGCTTATTTGCATGTGGTGTAGTTAGGAGAATATAACTGGGCATATGGGGCTTCAGTTAGCTAAACGTCTGCATTGTTGGCTAAACAGAGGATTCTTTTACAAAATTACCTGCTTCAAATGTCTCTATGACATATTAAAATGAATTTTTCTTGCAGTGTTTTAGAACCTCTACAAGTTGCTGTATTAGAAAAGGGCTATAAATCTAGGTTTTCATTTATGTATAATTCAGTGTGCTTGGTTAACTAAAACTCTATTTTGTGGTGACTGAATTCTCAGGTAAATTCTCATTTATATTGAGGGGCAGCATAGCTTGAGAGGTTCAGAGCATGCCCCTGGGGACTGGCCAGGTTCAGATCCAGGCTTGGTTTTGTACTAGTTCTAATCTCTGGCAAGCTACTTAACTTTTCTGTGATTTAGTTCCTTATCTGGAAAATTTGGGTGACAATAGCTCCCATTTCAGGGGATTAAATTAATACTTGTGAAGTACTTAAAACTGCCTGGTACATCCTAAGGACTGTCAGTATTGGTTGCCACTGTTATTTATACTGCTACTGTTGCCATCATCTTCCTCTTACTCCTAAGGAAGTATAAGAATAATAGGTGCAGCCTTCACCATATCAGAACTGTGAAGTTACCCAGAGTGTCTTGTCTGACTCTGCTGACCTTGAATTCTGTTAGCTAAGGTGGATCATCAGGCACTCGTAGGCTGGGGGAGGGATACCAATTAGGGGCAAGGCCAGATTGAATTAGTGGGAAAATGGAATTATAGTAGATGTGAGGAAATCATGGTCTGTTTAATTTTAAAAGCTACCATCTTCTGTTCAGAGAGGTAACAAAGGAATATTAATCCATTTAAGAAAGGAAGAATTTGTTCCAGAAGTCTGAATCAGTAGCTGGGATAACATATTAAAATAGAAGAAAATTAGATTAGTGGTAGAACCTTAATTAGGAAAGTTATTTACTGAGATTTACCCAGAAGAAAAGGGGCAGTTTGTAAAGGTAACTGTCATAACATTCCCCAGGACCTCTTCATACTCAGGATGAACCTGGGGAGATTCGAAGGATAAAAAGAATTAGATGGAACTAAGACTTTTTTTCAGTTGCCTGATTTGGAGAAGGAAAATAAAGAACAAAAGTAAAACCCTACATATTAATAGCAGAGTGACATATGGAACACAAGTTTGAATAAGCTACTTAGGAGGTTTAACAAAATAAAATATTTTTATAAACTTTGTATCACCTCAGAAAATTCACTCATAATAAATCCATATGGGAATGCCTATGGCTGCCTATTTGAGTGACGAGGGCAGATTGGGGACATAGTTACTTGGCATTTGGTGAGTGAAGTTTATTTCCGGCAAAGGCTTGCCCAGCTTTATGATTGCTGGCCTGACTGGGTGCTGTATTTGTACAATTCATCAAGGCTCCTTTCTTTGTACAGTTAGTCAAGAAGTATCTAGGAAATAAAGCCCCCTGAGGGGAGGGCTGTGAGAAAGCCACTTATCCGGCTGAGGCTCTGGCTCTTGGGCTTCTTAACAGATTAAGGCTTTGGGGCTGTTGTGTGACCCTGACCAAGAGTAGTCGGTCTTAAAGGGCTCTTATTTAGCCCCACAACACATTATAGGCCTGCTAGGTGATTAGACTTCCCGTGTAAAATGTGCACCTGTTTCCTACCAGGATAAATTGCCATTCTGAGTTCCTTAGCTTGGCATCCACATGAGAACGCATGAGATTTAGCCATGGTCATTTCTTCATTAATCATGATTGTGCTCAGAGCTTGTGGAGAAATTTTTTTATAGACATAAAAAGAAGTTTGTGTCTTTTAGTGATCTTTCCCTTGGCCTTTGACCGTAAATCACTGAGGTTATGAGTTTTTACCTTTTACTTCAGTTTTTTGATACCACATTTGGATGTAGTTAGAAGATGCATGCCCTCACCCCATTACAGAAAACAGAAGAACTGGCAGTTAATCAGGTCTTGGGGCTCAGGCATTGGCGTCAGACTGCTGGTGCCTAACCCCAGCCCCCCATGTAATGGCTTTATGAGCTTCAACAATTCCTTCAGCCTCTTTGACCCCAGTCTCCTCAATGATGATGTAATCTCTGCTTCATAGCTTTGAAGCCTCACTGGGGGGCTGGAAAGGATGGGGATGGCCAGAGACAGTAACAGTACTCATGGAGGAATTGTCCCACCCTAAGCACTGCTCATGACCCTGTTGAGAAAATCAGTGTTTTACAGAGCACTTTAAGAGTGCTTAGAATACATTAAGCATCAAAAAAAACCCCAAAATTCTGTGCTAGCTATTATATATAGCTGATGGGTTTTTATTATCATGAGCTAGGAATGCCTTGATAGATAATTTGGCCCGTTGTCTATTCTTTGCCAGAGAAAAATAGCTATTCTGAAGTTGTTTTTAATGTACCCTAACCTGTGACTGGCAGGTTATAACTGGTTGTGGTATTGCTCGAGGATATAGGTTCTTTTTTGTTTGATTGAGATAAAATTTACATAGAAAGTATATAATTTAGTGGAGGTTTTTTTGTATGTTCACATTATTGTGTAACCATTACTATCATCTAATTCCAGAAAGCTTTCATCACCCCAAAAAAGAAAGCTCATATTCATTATTCAGTCACTCCCTATCTGCTCAGGACATATGTTATTAAGATGCTCTAATGAGAGTTTTATAGCAAAGATAGGTACTTAGTTGACATTGGCTCTTAATGTCACTGTCAAATTATTTGGGCCAGAATAATTTACAGAGTAGAATTTTGGACCTATATACAGAATCTTGGCACTTCTTGCATAAACTTTCTCAGCCTGCATCTTTGCAGAGGTGGAGATTCTTCTATTCAGTCATAAGTCCTTGCCAGGTCCAGCCTTTTTTTAGTCTAACATTTATGGAGCTCATATTATGTGCTGTACTCAATTGTTAATTTTTACATGTATTTAATCTCGAAATAGTCCTAGTATATTAGTGTTACAGTATGGCCCTTTAGTATTATCTCTGTTTTGCTGGTGAGGAAATGGAGGTAGGAGCCGTTAATGCAACTTGCTCCAGGCCACACTGGTACTAAGTGGCACTCCAGATCCCTTGTATTTGTTCTCTTCAGAGAAGGTCACTTCCACAACCAGTTCAGTAACTGTTAAAAACATCTCCCAGCACTTTACTAGCAATGCGGGTGCATCAGTTACTTACCGTCATAATGCTGATTTCATTGAGAAAAAGATCATCAGAAAGTATTTATAGTTATATCAATAAACTGTCCTTATAGAGGATACAGTTGCATATAACCTGTTTTTTTCTTTTCTTCTAATGTTTGAAAGAAAAGGATTCAGGAGATAATTCTCTTCCATGCAGTCAGAGACAAGCTTATGGCAGATGACCTGGTTAGCATTGTGAGGCAGCTATGTCATTATTAAAGGGTGACTAGTACAAACAGCAGATGAACTCACGTAGCATTTTCATTGACTGACTATTATGTGTGCATATATGCACGTGTTTTTGTAATACTTGATGCTTTTTGATACCTGAACTCCTTCAGGTACTCATTGCCAAGTAGTTTCTTATGCCCCAGCATACTCTTTTGGTTGTAGGTAATCTCCCAGCCCAAAGGCTAGATCTAAAATGAGATCATTGGCTCAGAGTAGAACCATGTGATAGGTGAGAATCAAGGTTGGCTTGGCTGCCAGCAGCAAGGCATGCGAATTGACATTGGTTTTGTTAGTGTAACTGAACTAGGTACAATAAAGGATTTTGTAAGTAGAATGAGCATGGTAGTCACCCCAGTCACAGTAAGACTTTACAAATTCAGAATCAGCAAGGTTGTAGCAAAGAAAATGTGAGTAGACTGGTTCCCAGGCTAAAGGGAATGACACTCAGCCAAGGAACAGTTGGCCTGCACATTTCAGAACCACCAGCATCAACCTTACCCTTGCTGTAAGACGTAGAAGTCTTAAACGACCTTGACTGGTTAGCAAATCTGCCTCCCAGAAACACGGAAAACCTTGGTGTCTAAGGCTGAAGAAGGAGCAATGGCCTCTAAGTTGATAGAGCTTTTGACTTGAGGGCCATTATTTCCCACAAAGTCCATGTAGGCTGACTTTAGGCTCCTTTATGAGGGAGAAGTCCCCGTGTTTCTGTAGCCTAGCCCTTGTCCTCAGTGACCTAATAAGCATATTCTAAGCCTAAGCAGGAAGTTCAGGTTCCATGGAACCTGATAGGAAGTGAAAAATTAAAGGTTTCCCTAAAGTAAATGTGAAGTTAGGATTTCATTAAGCACTCATTGATAATAGTAGAATTTCAAACTGGAAAATAGTTAACATGTTCCTTTTAGTTTATTTTAAATATTGTTTTGATTCTCTAATTTACATTTAAATTATTTAAAAATTAACATGGAGAATATTTTACTTACAAATGACTGGTATTTATAAGCATGTACCCCACCCAAGCCCCTTGCTTCCATTGAATAGATATTTAAGAAATGAGAAAACTGGCCAGGCGCAGTGGCTCATGCCGATAATCCTAGCACTCTGGGAGGCCAAGGCGGGCAGATTGCTCGAGGTCAGGAGTTCGAACCAGCCTGAGCAAGAGCAAGATCCCGTCTCTACTATAAATAGAAAGAAATTAATTGGCCAACTAAAAACATAGAAAAAATTAGCCGGGCATGGTGGCTCATGCCTGTAGTCCCAGCTACTCGGGAGGCTGAGGCAGGAGGATTGCTTGAGCCCAGGAGTTTGAGGTTGCTGTGAGCTAGGCTGATGCCATGACACTCACTCTAGCCTGGGCAACAGAGTGAGACTCTGTCTCAAAAAAAAAAAAAAGAAAGGAGAAAACTTTTAGAGAGCTTGTAGATTGAGAAGTTTCAAAAAGCAGCAAGTACATATGTGAGAAGCTGATAGGTGGCCGGGTGTCACGTGGTGGTGTTCTTGACCCTCCCAGAGAAAGGTAACCAGCATCAGCCTTGGAAGAGGTTTTCATTTCCCTCTGTCACACTGCCTGAAGTTCTGGCTGGTTTTGCAACCCAGATGCCTTTAATGACCAGAGGATCACATTTATGTTTATAAAAGCAAACAAAACTATTAGACTTGCCAACTAAAACATGTATGCAGACTACCTCCAAAGCAGAGGATCATTAGGCTGAAGAGTGAAGTGTGTGTGTACTCCTGAGCTCATTGAAGTGTAGTACCTTACTGTAACCAGGTGCACTTAGTGGGCAGGACGTGGCTGTGTGATGTGACTTCGTATCCCAGGCATGGCTGTGGGGCATAACCTGCCACAGGTCACAGCTCTGGAGTGTCTGTTCCACTGCACTTGCGTCATTGTTTAAGCTTTGACACTGTCACAATTCTAGTCCTTCAGGCTCTTTTTTAAAAAACGTAAATCTTGCCATTTATTTAAGTACTTTCTAACATGTTTTTAGATCTCAAAGACAGAATTAGATTGGTTCCTCCAAGATTTGGAAAGAGAAATTAAAAAGTGGCAACAGGAGAAAAAAGAAATCCAAGAAAGACTAAAAGCACTGAAGAAGAAAATGAAAAAGGTTTCAAATGGCATTGAAATGTAAGTAACAGTTGAAAGGCAATAACTTGAATTGTTGTTTTTGAATATTGTCTGTCTTGGTTATTTTCACATTTTTGATATTTAATTCAAACTATATCAAGTAAAATAAAAATTTATAGGTACTGTTTTCAGTGTTTTTATCACATTTTTAAAACCATCAGTTGTCTCACCTAAAACTTTTTCTGAACTTAGCATGCTTTCAGATAAATTATATAAAAGTGGGAGTACCGTGGGAGTAGCATGGGACTGAGAATCCCCCAAGAGCTGATTTCCTTCCAGTCAGAACATCATCCCTTACTGTGAATGTTACCTTTAACCCTCTTTCTTACTGGTAAAATGAGGGGCTGGTCTGATCTTTCCATAGGATTCTGTGATGGTTATTTTATTTATAATTACTTTTATCCTGAATCTTTAAACTATTGGAATTTAGTCTTACAGTGTGAAGGATTTGATAATACATACAGATCCTGGGCATAATTGTCAGGTGGGCCAAGTATGTTTTAGGGTCCATCCCTAACCTCCCTCTGTTTTTGCACAGTGATATGTCATGTATTTCCTCAGCTTAATTGTTAACTACTGCTGTGTAACAAAACAGCTAAAACTCAGCAGCTTAAGTTAACAGCCATTTTATTTGCTCATGATCCTGCACTATGGGCTGAGTTCAGCTGGGCCACTCTTCTGCTGGTCTTGCCAGTAGTCTCTTGTGTGGCTAAAGTTGGCTGGGCTATGGTAGCTGGGGCTGGGCTCAGCTGGGATACTCGGATGGCTCTGCCTCACTTTCTCCATGTAGCCTCTTCCTGTGACTCTTATCCATGTGGTCTTTCCATGCAGTCTCTAACATGGTAGCCTAACTTCTTATGTAATGGCTAAGAACTCTTAAGGGTGCAAAAGTGGAAGCTGCCAGTCCTCCTGAAGGTTTAGGCCCAGAACTGTCACAGCATCATTTCTGCCACATTTTGTTGCTTAAAACAAGTCTCAGGCTCCGTCTAGATTCAAGGGCATGAATAATGGGGGGAGATGTGGTTCACTGGGGGCCATGCTACATACTCACCTTTCATGGGCATTTGTATTTTTCCATGTTCTATGCCATATGATCAGATGACTTTAATTATGAGTCTTTATATCATCACATTTGGGCAGCTTTTAGGCAGTCCTTAGATGGAGAAGAAAATAGAAAACACGGCCTTAAAAGTTTCTCTCCCTGTTTCATGTCATTTTGATTATGTTCATTAGTAGAACACATTTATGGAAACAATAATATCTGTAAAGCCCTTAATACTTGAGTAAGTCCAGTCTTAATCATTTTCAGTTATTAAAAATGCAGAAATATTTATATTTAATATATATTTTTTATGTTCAGATATACTGTCAAACTAGACAAGATAACTAGAGGCTGTTAATGATAAGAAATTTTTTTTCTGTACTAGTAGAAAAGGTAACCGTTTCTGCTGAAGAATAAGTTGTTGATTTTTTCATTTTATTAATATATTTCTTTGCCTTTTCTGTCACAATTTAAAGATAAACTATATGCTTCTCTAAGCTTTTTGCACGTTCCAAATAAATGCTCTAAAGCTAAATTTTTACATTTATAATTTTAAGTAAAATCTTCCAACTTTTGTCATCTCTTAGAGAAGCACAAAGGATGTGAGGAATGATTTCTCTAATGTTTCTATGCTTTTGATCACACATTAGTATTTATCAAGAAATGACTAGGACAGGATTAGTGCAATGATATAAACCAGAGGTGACTATGAAAGAAGGCAGGGACTCCATGAGAGAGCCTGCCCAGTATCGAGTATTTTACAAAAGAAGTTAAATGATAGTTAAACTTGGGGATTTTAGCAAGTAGAGATAACGGAAAAACTGTCTCAGGATATAGCATGAAAGAAGAGCCAGAACTTGCCTTGTGCAGGACATTATTGAAGAATCAGAGATTCACGCACTTTGTTTTGAAAGACTGTCAGTGCGTGTGTGCGCGTGCGTGTGCACGCGCGTGCATATATTTTAATTTGACTTTAAGTTCTATTTTAAAGAGTAGAAGGCTATTTTCATTTTGACTGAGAATCCATGTATTCTCAGTTTGAATGAGAACCACTAATGACGCTGATGATGATGCCACAATACCTGTGCTGTTTGTCTCCTGTTGAAACGATCTTGAGGTGCACTTCTTGGACTGAAATAGGGTGATCTACCTGTAAGCATATGACTTCAGAGTGAAGAAAAAGGTGATCTGTCCTCCATATGTAAAAGGAAAATTTCCCAAAAGGACAATGACCCCAAATTCTTTGCCTGTTTAGAAGATACTAGAAATGAAACAAAATGGAAAAACAAAAAATTCAAGAAATGTTTATATAGATGTGGGTAGAAATTACTGTGTGGGATTGCGTTAAAAAAAAAACATTGAAAATTAATTAAACTTTGGTGATTATGCTTTTATAGGTATACCCAGCAAAACGATGGACAGGATAAGGAACATGAATTACATCTGGATCAGTCTCTTGAAATCAGGCAAATTAAATTTTCTTTTATGTCTTCTTAAATTTTTAATACCAGAAGCACAAGCACACTAGACTTTTAAACAGATTGTCTATTTCTTTTAAATAATTATGTTTCTATTTTCTTTATTTCTATCATTTCTGTTGCATTTTAAAATTAATACTTAAATATATTTTGGAATATCTTTAAGTATTTTTATTTTACAAGGTTTTTGCATATATTTCCCATTGTCAGTATAAAATATCCTGAATTTATTGTTGTTGATTACTCCTTTATTCTGTAATTACCTTGAGACTTAAAAATATGTTTTAAAAACTTTTGTGTTGTTTGAAATATTATCTCAAATATAGACTGATAGTTTGTTCTTATTTTCTATGATTGTAGGTTCATTAGAGAATTTTTATTATGAACCTATAAAAAGTTTCCTTCTATTAATAACATGTGCTAATGGAAATAATGTGTTTTCACACACTAGTAACCAGTATATTCAGTAGTAAGCAGTTGTATTTTGTTTTTTCTAATTGAATATTGTTTCATATGCACACTTCCATTTCCATCCAAGTCAGTGGCCTTCTCTTTGGACATTTACTTTTTTTTTTTTTTTTTTTTTTGAGACACTGTTGTCACTCTGTTGCCCAGGCTAGAGTCCTGTGGCGTCAGCCTAGCTCACAGCAACCTCAAACTCCTAGGCTTAAGCAATCCTTCTGTCTCAGCCTCCCGAATAGCTGGGACTACAGGCATATGCCACCATGCCTGGCTAATTTTTTCTCTATATATTTGTAGTTGTCCAGATACTTTCTATTTTTGGTAGAGATGGGGTCTCACTCTTGCTCAGGCTGGTCTCAAACTCCTGAGCACAAACAATCCTCTTGCCTCGGCCTCCCAGAGTGCTAGGATTATAGGCATGAGCCACCATGCCTGGCCTAAACATTTACTTTTGTTTCCACTTTCTAGCTGTTACAAAAGTATAGCTATGAACAATTTTGTGTAGGTCACTTTTTCCCTTTCTGTTATTTTCTTGTGAAATGTGTCAAAATAGAATTTCTGGTTCAAAGGATAGAGGGATGTTTTATAAAGTTTATTAGTATTAATACAACCAGGTTGTCCTTCACCTACCCTCAAGAAGATGGTGAACTGGCCACAGCGCCCTCACCTGCTTCTCAGCATTCCCATCAAATTCTCACTGTTAATTTCATATCTTCTTATGATCATTTGTAAAGCGCAGAGAACACACATGAATCTGTATATTGTATAGTAAAATAGGAGGCAAGAAGTTACTCTAGAAGATGTTATGCAAGTTTTTTTGTGGCAGGATTTCAAAGCTAACCTTGCCCTGAAGCCTTTGTAATCTCATTGGTTAAATTTTTTTTCAAGAAGTTTTTTTTCTTTAATATTTTCAGTGATCCATTTACAAATGAGAAAATGAAAATAGAAGAGTGTATAAAGAAAGGGAAAGAGCATTATGAAGAGAGTCATCAAAGAGCTGTGGATGCAGAGGTAAGTCCATGACACTTGGTGACTGATGGCAGTGGCATTTGTCATTTGTTTTTGTGTTTCTTTAATGACACACGAGGGCATAACAAACATTACTGAAAAGTGTGAAGGGTCAGGGATATCCCATCACCCATAATACTGCCTCCCTAAAACCACTTTTTCTTTGCCTATAGCTGTGTAATTTTTTACCCTGATGCTTATGTTGTTATATAGATGTACTCACAGGGTACACCAAATTTTGTAACCTGCTTTCCATATTTAACATTATAATTCAATCATTTCCTGTACTGTACACTTTGAATAGCTTCATCATATTTAATCAAGTGATGTACCATGTAGCCAACAGTAAACATATCTGCCAATACTTAGAAAGGAACTTAAAAATAATCTACTTACTAAAATGTATTCCTCCCTCTCCCTAGAAGAATATATCCAATGTCAGTATAATATTTGAGAAACTACTGAGACAAAAATCAAAACAATGACATCTGGCTATATTTTATTTAGTTCCAGAAATGTGGTTGTCTTTTTTTTTCTAACTTAGCAACAAATTATATTTATTGGTATATGTGTCTCTGATTATACTGGGAAAATAAGAAAAGGCTTAGTTTATGAGATCTGCAAACATTAGGCTTTTCAATTAAGAATTGACTACACAGCTGCTTCTAAGAAAAGGAAGGGAAAAAGAGCCAAGTATGAATACTCCTACTTCTTTATCTGTATTCCTGAGCTTGTTTGGTTCACTTTACCACCATTTGGTAAGCAGGTTTTGCCTCATGGGCCCTGTGAGGGTAGGCACACCTGGATTAAGAGGCAGCATCACAAGGATCACGTGCATTTAATGGATTGCTTGGATTATTAGGCCATTCTACCTTTCCTGCAGTGATTCTTTAAAAAAAAAAATGGCCAGTTGGCTTGTGGGGAAGCCAGAGAGACTAAAGTTTTAAAAGCATGCCCTAGAGGCTTTTGATGCCCCCCTGAGAATAACTTCTCCGAGGCTTTCCGATTGCAAAGAATGCAGCCCCAAAGGTTATTCTGCTGTCCCTGTCCCTCTATTCACCCTGGGCAGGACCATAGATAACACACATTGGTGTATACATGCAGTTAACTTGGCTCTGTGCTTGTATGTGGCTTAAGCAGAAAGCCATGTGCACAGTTTCATACCTGCGAGAAAAGGATTGGGTAGCGTACATAATTATAATGTCATTTTGTTCTCTTTTCAAATCTCAGTTTGAATTTGTGTTTACCTGGGTTAAATTATAGCATAATCAAGTTCTGGTGATTGTATCATCATACTTCATTTAAAGAGAAATTGGAATGTGATTTGGAACGTTTAAATTTGAACCGTTAAAATAGTTTCAGGTTCTCATTTGTAAAATACTTAAACATCCTCTAATCTGTTGGCAGATATCTGTGCTTCAAAACTGGAAGGAGAGTGAACTGTATAAGTTACAGATCATGGAGGCACAAGCAGAAGCCTATCTGAAGAACCTGGGGCTAGTGAGGTAATGTGGCCTCGAAAGTATCCACATCTTTTTTCACTCAGTAGTGTGTGGGAACTTACTTTCATATTGATAATTACATTTCTCCCACCTAATTTTGAAAGACTGAATAGTATTCCAGCATGTAAACATACGATTTATCAAACACCACTGTGGTGGGATAGTTAAGTGTTTCGCAAATTTTGTTGGTAATGAGCTGCACTGCAGTGAGCATCCTGATAGTTAAATCTTTATGCACATTATTAGTCATTTCCAAGCAACACATTTCTGGAAGGAAGATCACATTTTCAAGGCTTTTTAAATTATTTTCCAAATTGCTTTCCATAATAGTTATTATTTAACAGTCTTCGTGATAGAATATGGGAATATCACTACAAAGTATGTTAAATTTTTTCGGCTCTCCATATAATCTTTATCTGTTTCTGTTTGTTTTGCTTTTTTTGTTAAAATAAAATTAACCTGGAATCCTAGAGGGTCTTCACCCTAGCATTTAGCACTTCCCTGTGCAGGTTTTCACATATGGGATTACTTCTCATCTGGTCCTTTTATCATTTTTCATACACAAGTTTTTCATCCTTCCTGGTTCTTGCTTTTTGATTCAAATTTTAAACCCTCAGAATTGAACCAAAGATTGTGTGGATCACGGAAAAATAGTTTTAGTGTAGAGTTCCTTATTTCTTCATTTTCAAGATTTAATTTTTTTTTCATGAGAAAACTTTTCTGAAGGTAAACTAATATGCTGATTCATATTACCGGAATAGCGCAGCTGAGATTGAGACAAGTGGTGTTCACATGCCTATATTAAGCACTCACCATGGGCTGCATCCTGGCTCATCTGGGAAACAAAAATATCTGAGACTCACTTTATCTAATTGTATCAACTGTCTTCCAATAAGCCTTATGGTATACATAGATTCTTTCTGGGGATGCCATGTTAACTCTGCTTGTTCCACCAAAGGGCAGCAAAATAGAAAAGGTGTAAAAAGAATGTTCTGACTTTTCTTTAAGATTTTAATTATTAAAATTTGTATAGTTGATATATTAGCAGTTTTCTATTTTTATACTTTTTCAGTGATTCTGCAGCATATCCCGACATAGAGTCTGACATACATTCATGGGAATTGTTCCTTTCTGATGTTACAGAAGAAATTGAGAAAGCAAAAGTAAGTTATAAAAAACATTTTATAATTCTGTCAAAATCTTTATGATGGTTATAATTCTCAGGAGGGTACTGTCTTATTGAAACCATTATTTTTAACAATGGCAATAATATATTTCTTGTGAAATTATAACAAATTTTTCATAGAAGTAATGGTATTTTCTTAATTATCTTAAACTCTGCCCTTGATTGATAAGATTAGAGAAGTTATGTTTGAGGAGGCTGTAGAACATACTAATTAATGAGGTCTTATTTTAAATTTCTTTCCTTACAAGACACTTATGTTTCTTGGAAAATTGTTTACCATTTGTAATGCATAGTAAGAAACAAAGTATTAATTGGCAATTGTGTATTTCCCACACTTTCCCCTCTACCTACAGTCTCAGTTTGAAGAACAAATAAAGGCAATTAAAAGTGGCTCTCGGCTCTGTGAACTTTCTAAAGTGCAAATTTCTGAGCTTTCATTTCCTGCCTGTAACACAGTAAGTCTATCACATGTTTTTTTTGTTTTAACCATAATTTCTTAACTGGCCAAAGTGGTTATTTGTTGTTGTTTTCTGGGAGTGGGGATGGGATGGATTAATTATTGCCTTGATGTTTTCATTATTGGTGCTACTGGTTAGCCTTTTAAGCTTTATAACATTCTTATATAAATAGAAGTTTACTCTTTCTACATCCATACATGAGAACAGCACTGAGGCAAGTACACCATGGCTATATATTTCCATCATTTTCATTACCTTAGGTCCTTTGTTTTCCGTATGCTGGGCTGTGTGTGAGTGTGTATGTGTTCCTGCCTTTGAGTGAATAATCCAGGAGTAGCAGTGCCCGTGATTCAAGCAGCTTTCTTTGTTACCACTTCTGATTATACTCTTATTCCTAGATGCTTGGGGGCATAAAACCAAAACCTAAAAATTAAGGTGTTTCCTCATCAAATACAGAATAAAAACTGCCATACCTGAGACATACAGGGCTTTGTTGGTCTGGCATGTCATATTTGACTGCTAGTTTGAGGTATTTGCTGAATCTTTCAAGTGACAGTAATTGCCAAACCCCCGTCTTTTTATTTTAAAATATGCAGCTCAGTAAAGAAAATAATTGTATTTTATGGGTTTTATAGTATAGCTAAATCTATGTCAGTTTATTGTATTCTGGGGTACATGCTTCTTAGATTTGGACACAGAGCAGATGCTCAGTAAATACCAAACTGAAATGAAGTATGTCCAAAGGAAATTATACTATAAGAATTTATTAAAGAGCTCTGTTGAAGAGTTGATTAAAAATAGGTTTCAGAATGTTTTGGCAGGACAGTGAAATCTTCTGGTTCCTAAAGACTGAGGAGACTGTTTCCCCAGCACATATTCGCAGCCTTTTGCTATTGCCAGACCTTTGCCTGGGCTGTTCCCCAGCCTGGAGCATCTTTGTCACCCTCTGCCTCCTGCCTCCCTCAAACGCCCAGTGGGGGGCTGCCCTCTCAGCCCTCTTCAACTTACAGGGCAGGCCCCTCTGTCAGCCTGATCATGAGCATCTCTGTCTTGCCAGGACCGTGTACACTAAACATTCAAACATATTGTGAATTCATCTGCAAACAATAAAATTAGATGTGAAAAAAGTGTGACCACTTTGAACCGAGTAAGATATTCTGTTGAATATTTTTTCTTTCTATTGAACTGAGTAGGAAATAGTTTTATTTAGAATTAAAGGTCATTTCTCTGTTATAGTTTTTCCAAGTTCTTGTAGCAGACATAGAGAACTTTGCATCTCTGTAGGGTTATTTTATTATTAATTTGTAATTGGAGCTTATGTAATTTTATAAATACTCAGAAAGATTTCCAGAATCCTGGAAACTCTCAGTGTGCCAAGAGCTTGAGTAATACGCGTCCTTAAAAATCATTTACTTTGTGTCTCACTTCTCCCTCATTCATTCATTCATTGGTATTTAGTGGTGATCAAGATTAGATGTGGTCTGTGCCCTCAAAGTGCATATGGGCTTGGGAAAAGACAGACTTCAAACCCATAATTATATGCAGAGTATGCTGAGGTTTTCCCAGGCAGAGTGCTAGTGCAGCATGAGTCGGGGCACTGACCTGAGAGGTGGACGCCTGGGTGGAAGAGTCCCAGTGGGAAGTCTCAGTAAGCCAGAGATCTAGAGTGAGAGGGTGTATATGTGAGGACGGCAGGGTGTTGTGATACTTGGGTCAGAAGGTTCCAGATGGAATAGACAAAGTATTTAGAGGCTAGAATCATAGAACATACTCTTTTCATGGCTATAAAAGTAGTTCAGTGGGACAGAGGGGGCTGTTGAAGTACCCAGTGGCCAGAAACAAGGGAGCCTTGAGCTGTGTTAAAGTAGTGTGGGCTTTTCCGTGGGTTGCCAGGAAGCCAGTGTAGGTCTTGAGTAAGGGAACAGCACTGGATTTGTCCAGTAGTTCCCCTGCTTATTTGCAGTTTCACTTTCCATGGTTTTAGTTACATGAAGTCAGCCACAGTTCAAAAATATTAAATGGAAAATTTCAGAAACACACAGTTGATAAATTTTACATTGCATACTATTTTTTTTTTTTTTTTTTTTGAGACAGAGTCTCGCTTTGTTGCCCAGGCTAGAGTGAGTGCCGTGGCGTCAGCCTCGCTCACAGCAACCTCAAACTCCTGGGCTCGAGTGATCCTTCTGCCTCAGCCTCCCAGGTAGCTGGGACTACAGGCATGCGCCACCATGCCCGGCTAATTTTTTTATATATATATCAGTTGGCCAATTAATTTCTTTCTATTTATAGTAGAGACGGGGTCTCGCTCTTGCTCAGGCTGGTTTCGAACTCCTGACCTTGAGCAATCCGCCCGCCTCGGCCTCCCAAGAGCTAGGATTACAGGCGTGAGCCACAGCGCCCAGCCTGCATACTATTCTTAATAGTGTGATGAAATCTTGCACTGTTCTGTCCTGGATGTGAATCCTCCTTTGTCAACAGATCCTTCTGTGGATGCTTCCCCCAAGCCCCTCGTGAGTCACCCTTTTACTTCATAAGGGCCCCAAAATGCAAGATAGTGATGCTGGCAATTCGGATATGCCAAAGAGAAAAGCCATGATATGCTTCCTTTAAATGAAAAGGTGGACGTTCTCACTAAGGAAAGAACAAAGATCGTATGCTGAGGTTGCCAAGAATGAATCTTCTATCTGTGGAATTGTGAAGAAGGAAAAAGACATTTGTGCATAGTGTATATATAGGGTTCGGTGAGGTCTCAGGCGTCCACTGGGGGTCTTGGAGCATGTCCCCGTGGCTGAGGGGAAGCCCCTGTGCTTTTTGAGGGTGAGCTTGCTGGGCAGCAGTGTGGGGAGTGGACGAGGGGCCTTGAGTAATTTCCAGCTGGCTGCTCATCAGCTTACTGCCCTCAGCCTGTCCTGCTGAGGGCATGGCGGGGGAGCAGAGGGAGGAGAACAGATGAGAGAGGCATTCAGGAGGTGCAGCTGGAGGAATGCTGCTGCTCACGAGACTGGGCCACTGGGTGTACTTGTGGGGAGTTGAGGGTGAGTCCTGGGTCTGTCAGTGAGGTGGGCCCTTGGGGGAGTGCAGGTGTGAGGAGACTGCCTGAGGCTAGTTTTATTTATTTATTTTTTATTTATTTCAGCATAATAAGGGGGTACAAATGTTAAGGATACATACATTGCTATTGCCTTCCTTCCCCCCTCGAGTCAGAGCTTCAAGCATGTCCATGCCCCCGAAAATGCACAATGCACTTATAATGTGTATATATAAACCCATCCCCTCCCCCCCCCACCTGCCTGACACTGAGGCTGGTTTTAAACACACGGAGTTTAAGTTGCCTTGGAATTGCCCAGGAAGCTTTGCAGATTTGGATCTCAGGAAAATAGACTAGAAACTTGTAGAAAGTGGGTGTTAATCAGTGAGCACGTAGTTGCTGAGGCCTGTGAAAGGGCCTGGAGAGAACACAGTCAGCAGGGGCAGCAACGTGAGGACAGAGGGACCTGTAGGCAGGACAGAGGGACCCAGAGCAGTGTAGAGCTGGGAAGGGCACTGAGAAAGAGGAGGCGACCAGCAGGTGTCCCTGTAGCTGAGTGGGATGGAGACAGCTTTGCAGACTGTTGGGACAGCTATTTCTGATCAGTTAGCCACAAAGTTTAGCTGGGACAGGGAAGTGTGATTAGGAAGAGGCTAAAAGAGGGCCGGCAGGCAGGTAAAGTGGTCTCATTTAGGTAGTTCTTCTAATTTACAGAGAAAATAATGAATTAGAGAGAGTTACTCAGAAGTCAGAGTCCTGCTCTTATTCTAACAAGTTATCAGTAATTCTTTTAAAACAGGAATATTTATCATTTTCAAGTTTCCCATGTACTGGAGCATGTGGGCTTCATTATACTCAGGCTTGCTCATCAGTCTTTGTCCGTGCGTGCTTCTCCTCTCGTTTCAAGGCAAGCCCTAAATGACTCTCCTACTGTGGTGTGTTCCTCACAGATTCCTCCTGCGTTACTTCCTGAATCTTCAGGCCATGATGATCAAGGGCCTGTGGCTTCCCCAAATGACATGGCTGGAGACCAAACAGCAGCTCCTGAGGGTCCAGGGCTCTTCTCTGCCGACGACTACACAGCAGAGGCTCCTCCTGCACTGTCGCCAGGGCTGCCCTCCAGTCTGCCTGAAGTCTCTCAGACATCAGAGTCGAAGCAAGCTGGCCAGGCAACTCCATCAAAACAAAGTCCTGTGGCTGATGAGAAACTACCGGCTCCTCCAGGACGTGCTGCTCGGACAAGCCAGTCTCCCAAAAAACCATTCAATAGTATTATTGAGCACCTGTCAGTGGTATTCCCATGCTACAACAGGTATGAATATAAAATGTCTGTGAGTCCATTTAATACTGTATTGAACTGAAGTTTCCTGATCAGATAAAGTCATGGCCAATTAGGAGCTAATAGGGATTAGCTCCTAACAATTAAGTGTTGCCTAATTGTTTTGCTCTGAAAGACAGGTGGCACATTCTTGTTTTTTGTAAATACAGAGGTATTTCCAAATAAAATTTTTAATGTGTATATCTAGATTAAAAATGTTGACCTCTGAGTAATCACTCCTCAGAGCCCATGATAGTTTGCTAAGACTTTGATGAAATCAGTAACACTCTAAAACTAGTTGTTATAGAATCAGTGAATGAACTGCAAAATGATAGTTTTCTCTCATTTGGGCAGGGGGTGGGGGAAGGTATCACACATGGTGAAGAAGGCAGCAGCAACTTACATCTTGTGAGACAAGACCTGTGAGTTGTCAGAGGTGTGAGGTCGAGACTAGATGGAGTTCCATAGTGACGAGGGTTGTGCACATACCGAAGGGTGTTGTGAGTGTGGGCAGAGCTGCAGGCAGGGTTGGGAGGGTTTTGAGCTCTTCAGTGGCACTTCTGCCTCCACCTCCGCTTGCTGCTCTTCAGGCTGGTGTAAGGGGTTCAGGTGCCCCTTGTCTCAGCTGAGAGGGAAGGCTAGGTGGAGGCGTGTGTCTGGGCACAGTGCAGAACAGAGGCCTCTGCACTCAGGAATGACCCTCTGTGCCTGCCCTGTTACTTCTGTTTCTGAGACAATGTCAGTTACAGGCTTTCAAATTGAAATTGGGAAACAAAGTTGTGGTTAAAATATAATAGGCCAGAGTTAATGTTTTATATTGATACAGCCCTACCCATTTGAAAATAAGTATATTTAGTCTGCACATGGGCATGTTTTGCCCTAAATCTGAGAAACATAAGTTCTCTCAGTAGTAATCTCCATGCCAGTTGTAAAAATATTCAAGTTGTAATTATCAGAAGTATCCTACAAATCACATTGTTTGCAATCCTGATTAAATTTGGCAGAGATTAAACAATCAAGTAAACATACATCCTAATTTTCTGAAAGGTAAAATATTTTGAGTAATAGTGGTGCAAATTGCAAGTTTCTGTTGACTATAATGCCCATGTGATGGTACTTGTGAAACACAGACTTTGAACCTTGTTGATTAGACTTTTCAAGGGAGGAAGGAAACTAGTCTAAAAACTAGTTTCCTCTTGGATAGAAAGAATCTATTGATTTCAAGTTGGAACCAGTGTGTGTCCAATTGTCAATGATTTTGCATAAAGCTATGCAAAATAGGCTACATCTAGGCTACAAAGTCAGTTTTTTAAATAGAGATTAATATCCCAAATGGATCTACCAGATATGTAATTACTTTGAAATTCTACTGAAATAAATATTTAGAATATTGAAATTTCATAAGTACTTTGGAAAGAGTAATTCTGCCTTAAAATGGTTCTGCTTTTTATATACAGTTACTATTGTTATCATTGGGTCTAAAAATTAATTTTTTGTGTTTGTTTTTGGTTCTTTAGGTTGGACTGTTGGGTTAATATTAGCACATAGTGCTATTTCCACTGCTTAGCAGTGGAAAACTTGACTTTGTTGTCATTTATCAGTCACTTTGCCTTTCAGCACCGAACTTGCTGGTTTTATTAAAAAAGTGCGAAACAAAAACAAGAACTCGCTCTCAGGATTGAGTATTGATGAAATTGTCCAAAGAGTGACAGAACACATTCTAGATGAACAGAAAAAGAAAAAGGTATTTCATCCAGATACAATAAAATGTTCCACTTCATCCTTATTTATAAAATATGAGAATTATAAAAAAAAATGCTTTAAAATGTGGAAAACAATTTACTAATGACAGAAGATTGTCAAGCTTTTAGGTAACTGAACTTTGCGTTCCTCTTGTGCCCTGCCCCCCACCCCTTTTATCTCTGTAGCCAAATCCAGGGAAGGACAAGAGGACATCTGAGCCCAGCTCTGCTGCCTCTGTGACCAGGTCCTCCCAGGACCCACCCTCGATTGTCGGACCATCACCCAAAACCAAGGGGCAGAAAACAGAAGGTGTCCCTGTGAGTATTTTGTGTATAACTGTATAGTTTTGTTTTTTAATGAAGAACAAGAAGGAAAGAAAATTTTGAAGCCCTGATTTAGCTCCATTCTTTTCATTTCTAAACCTAATTTATTTGATCCTAAAATTAAAAACCAAATTTCAGTTTACTTGAATGGTCCCAATAGAACAGTCATTGAATGGCTGAGGTCAAGTCTCCACTCTGACAAGTGCCTGGGTGCCCAGTGTGGAGCCCTGCACACGAGTGACAGGAGCCCTGACCACAGCGGGGGAACCTTCTCTCCCCTGCCCTTGTTTTGCTGCAGATGGTCAAATACGTTAACTTTTTATATCCAGTGTGATATTTTGAATAGTTGAGGAAAATAGTTTTTGAATAATTTTCTTGTGTAACCATGGGCTTTGGAATCACACAGACTTGGTCCTATCGCTTAATACCACCAGGAGCCCTGCTAACATCTGCCTGCCCAGGCCATGGTCTGGATTACGTGCTGCCACAGAATGACGGGGCAGCTCTGCTCAAGAAAGGGTGGTGGCTGCTGCCCTTTGCCTATTCCCTCACACGCCTGAGAGGGATGCTGGGATGGGCTGAACTTGCCTGGAATTGCATATATTGATTTAGGGTTGTTTTTTCCCTCTTACACAGTAAGAATGTTACATTTACATAGAACTTTGCATAAAATGCTATAATATCTGTGATCTAAATGGATAGGCATTATAATTGTCTTTAATAATAAGGAAACCAGAGCACAGATGGCTGGTGCAGCTTGCCAGCATCCGCTTGAGTATTGGAAGGCATGGATGTAGCTCAGAGCAGGCCCTTTGACTTGTTTGTGCAGTGTCATTCTGCAGACCTCCCATACAGCCAGCCGATGCTGGAGACAGTGCAGGAGGGACCACACGTGAGGTTCAAAGAGACCCCGTCACCTCTGTGGCTCAGGGATGGGGGCTCTGGATGGGATTCTGGTGTAGAGCGCGATTTCCCTTCTGTCCAACTGTGAGGTCAGAGTGTAGGTGACGTCAACGTGAGGAGAGCTGTAGACTCCGTAACATTCTCGGCAGGGAGCCAGCAATATGAGATTGCACAGAGTGCTGGTTTGCTTACTTGAGCTGGCATTGAGTCTTTCTGTGAACTTAGGTTTTTATTCCTCCTGTACATTTTCACTTCTCACTGCTATTTGGAGATTTTCCACACCACATACACTTGGCTCCCAGAGGGTCTCATCCCTGCTCTCCCTAGTGAGAGAGGCTCCAAGCATGTAGGGCATCCTTGCAAGACCTGGCTGGAGGCCCCCCTGTCCCAGGGCTTTCCCCGATGGGCCGTGTGCTCTGTGATCATCCAACCAGGCAAAATTCCCAGGGCATCCCTATCCTTGCGTGTGTGTCTTGTTGGCCACCCCCATCTTGAGATAGCCCATGATGCCTGGAAGAGAGACAGCTCTTTCTGCTTCATGGTTGGTGTTTATAATAATTAAGATGTAACAGCTGACTTAAACTTTTACCAAATTATATGAGAAAGAGAAATACGTATTCAAACTGGGACTGAATTTGATCATAGGTAGTTTGTTAAAAATTGAAAGTATTATATTTTGAAAGTGCAAAAGTAATACATGGCTCATAATACAAATAAAAAGGGCATTTTTAATAAACCTATCCTCCAACAAGTATTATCACGTTGATACATATTTTCCTATATTCTTTTGTATGCATGTGTGTGTGAATTTAGTCAAAACTGAATACTTTAGTCATACTTTGTATGTTCCTTGGGGGCAGGAATTTTGTTTTCTTCCTCTCTTTTTATTGTGGTTGTCTTTTTTTTCTTTTACTTAGAAATGTACTGTGCCCATTTTTTGTAGGAAACAGTCAACTGCATATTTTTCAAGCTACACCTAGCTCTGAGCTTTGCAGAGGGCATTAGAGAAGCCTTATCCTCTTCTTCCCCAGGGCTGACACCTCTTTCTTCCCTGCCCTTCACTCTGTGATGTCTGCCTTCTCTGCCTGGACCTTGTCATGTGTTGAGAAATACAGAAAAACCCTGGACAGCAGCTCCAGGTTTTGGTAGTCATTGGGCCTTGCCCTAGCACCCCTCCCTGAACTTGCTCCCATGGCCAGCGTTGCCTGCTTCCGTTCGCTCACTCGTAGTGTTTTTGGAGCATGGGTTCGGGCTGGGCTCCTTACTGGCTGCTAAAGATACAGATAACAAGACTTGTTTCCTGCCTTGAAGGTGCTCAGGATTCAGAGGCGAGTTAGCGTAGAAATTAGCGATGCAGGGTGGGGTCGGGCCCTGGGTCTGCTCTCACGTCAGAAGCACGTCTGTGCTCACCAGACTGTAAGCGCTGGAGGCTGGAAACCTTCCATTCATCTCTGTGTCCAGCGCCCTACACAATCCCTGACCCCGTGGATATTTGCCAGATGAGCCATCAGTTTGTTTTGTTTTGATTTGTGCAAGTGATCCATGTTTGTAGAAACTTTAGAAAACAGTAGAGAAAAAAATTAAGTCTCCCTTAACCAGGGGTAACCACTGGTAACATTTTGTATATCTTTCCAGCCTCTTTTCTAGGCATTTACATATACACACATTCTCTTAAAATTTAAAAAACTGAATTATATGGTACATATCACCTTGTAATGTGCTTTTATTCAGCAGTATGTTGTGCCCGCTCTGTGTCAGGGATTATGGACTGCCCTGCTGATTTCACTCGGCCACACAATAGTGCATTGTGTGCATGTGTTGGAATTTACTCCCTCCAACTATTAGATAATTAGACAAATGATTAATTAGTAATATTAGGACCATACTTTACATAAAGTATAGGATTTGTAGTATTTCACCTGTGAATCTGTTAACCATATAAAAGTTTTTTCTCTGAGAAAATTAGAACTTCAAAAGAATTCTTTTTTTGATATTTTTATGTTTTTTTAAGAAATGCTATTAAAATGTAAGTTATTTCCTCATCCTGCTTAGCTGTAACTGGGAATCATTTGCCACCCTTTGTGCTAAAAAATGAAGTCCATGTGTAGGAAAAATTCATGTCCTTAAAAAAATTAGCTGTTCTTTATCATTGAGTTATGTTTATCTCCACAGGCATCGGGCGCAAGTTCTTGTGAGTTATGCCATGAGGTGTTCAAATCAAAAAATGTGCGTGTACTAAAATGTGGGCACAAGTATCACAAAGGGGTAAGAATTCTCTTTAGTCTTATATCATGCTTTGTGACCATCAAGTATTTTCAAAATAAAAAAGGAATTTTCCCCCTAGGCATCTATATTTCTTATGTTTTTGAGCTATTTTCTTTGTAAACTTCCCAATGTCAGTGTTCACTGTCTCCCTGTCCAGAGACTGTTGCTGTGGGAAGGGACACAGAGTTTCTGGGCCCTGGCAGATCTCCTTTCCATCACACCATGGGTAAAAAAGAACTCCAGCAACTCTTTGGTGCTGAGATTCAAAGCAATATTAGTTCTGTGCAAGGTGATTTTGTATGCACGACTGAGTAGATAAACAGTACAGCTCTTTTCTTGATTTAGTGTAGTGTATGAAGTCAGTTTAACATTTAGGAGGAGAAAAACTAAACCTAGCTTGGCCCTTATGCCTGACCCTGGGAGATTCCAGCTCATACCCTTCCCAGATGTGTGTGTGTTAACTATGTTGGCGTTCTGGGTACTATGAGCGTTTGTCCTACACCCCTGCTTCTGGGTTAGAACAGATCATGCCTCTGCCATATTGATTTATTAATCCTTTAGAAAGGGATGGATACAGCATATTCCCTAGGAGGAATCAAGATGGCTTGCAGAGTCTCTTGCATGGTCCGTGTCCTTTGGGTGCTTGGGCTTTCCAACTTCCCACACACCCCCAGCCAGGCCCTGAGTATTGGATAGCTCTAAGCCCAAGAGACTTCAAGGCACAGGTTCCTTGTGGTCCTGAAGCAACTACTGATTTTGTTTCTTTCTTTTCAGTGTTTTAAGCAGTGGCTTAAAGGGCAAAGCACTTGCCCAGCCTGCCGAGACCAGGATCTGTCAGAAGAGTAGCCTCCACCTTCTGGAAGAGACTGGCCCAGTGAAAATCAGGAAGGATCTTCTTGCTGCTCTCGGTAGTCACACCTCACTAAAGAGTAAATCTCTGGTGTGTTGAATTTAAAGAATTACAATATACTACCTTTGGCATAAAAAGCAAACATTGGAAGACACTCCTGCGTTGTATATCACAAAGTTAATAACTGGAACTCTTTAACAATTGATATTAGTAATTTTCCCACTATGATTAAACATTTCAAAGGTAGCCAAGTAATGGCTGGCAGTGACATGTGACCACATTCTTACATTGTTAGAGCTGCTACAGAGGGGCTCTTTGAGGTGGTGGCTTCTTTTGGAAACTTGTGAGCACCTCAAAGCAGTATTTGAGTTACAAGAATTCTTAACATACTCAAGTGCACCAGGTTTCCAGTTCCCCTTTCGTGTTTGAAAAACCTATTCTAGTAGTTCCACAAAAGAGATGATATCAACCTTTTAAAAATTTTTATAAGATTCTGTATTCCTGAAAATATGGCAACATTTTTCCTCAAAGATTGTGCATTTTAGAAATGGGCATAAGCAAACTGTATTTTAATAATTTATAGTTAATCTTAAAATATTGGCTGATTTAGACCAAATTCAAATTTCCTCTTCATGAAATGCCATGTGCTTTCATTTTTTATTTCAATTTTTTCATTTCATTATTTTAGATCTCCTCCTTCCTTTTTTTTTTTTATTTTGGCATATTATGGGGGTACAGATTTCAAGGTTTCAGTAAATGCCCATTCTCCCCCTCCTCCCACAAGTCTGAGTCTCCAGCATGACCATCCCCCAGATGGTGCACATCTCACTCATTATATATGTATATACCCGCCCCCCTCCCATCTGCCAAATACCCTATTACTGCAGTACCTATGTGTCCACTTAGGTGCTGCTCAGTTAATACCAATTTGCTGATGACCCCTTCCATTTTTTAAATGTTTTATTTTCTTTTAAAGGTATAATGTGATTTTTGAAAATCAATTACAGAACACTTTTTTTTATCAGTATCTACTAAGACTTTTTCCCCCAAAGTTGAGTCTATGTACTCATCATACCAGCCCTACATTGGGAACTTATTCCTCAAATACGCTATTAATCTTATTAGCAGCATCTGTCCTTCTTTGTGAGTCAGTCAACAAGTGCTTGGGTATTGACACCCAGCGCAGTGCTGAGCACACAACAGGCTGTGTGCAAACAGTTACCATCATTCTCCTTCCTTATCCCACCACCAAAAAGAGAAATTGTGTAATTAGACAATCCCGAGGTGTCTGTGTTACAGTCGTTCAGTATTTGCCATTTGTGTACAGTGATGCATGCAATCTTGTACTGTGGCCTGAGAGCAAAACTATAACTGCATTAAAAAACTATTTAAAAATTAGGTATTGTTTTGTGGCATATAGATAGTGGTAAATATAGAAATATGAGTTCTGAACACATTCCATTTTTCTCAAACATGAAGGATGAAAAAATGTTTTTCAGTGTGGTCTTTGTTCCACTGGAAACTTAAGAGTCACGAGTTTTTGAGCTCATTGGTCACCTTCCTCTGTCTTTGTTCACCGTGAGTTTTGATGTCTTGGTGACTTAGTCTGTAGAAGCTCACTCCTTATCTGGAAACGTATTCTCCCTGGTGGTCCCTAAAACGTTGTCTGTATGTTCATAAGAATTGAGAGCTGTGGATGTTGAGAAGCACAGTGACTCGGTTGTAGCAACAAGTACAAAGAAGAAGAGCATCTGAATGAGAATGTTTTGTACCTGACTTGAGAAACTTGTGAGCATACCTTACATTTGTCCAGTAACAGTCTGAATAAAGAGCATTCTAAAACAGGAGTGTTTACTGTCATTCTTGTCCATTCTTTCTCAGATGATTTAAAAAATGCCTTCTACTTGAAAATTCAGGACAGGTGTGTTATGCTAACATTTAAAAAGTGACTTTATTTGGAAAGAACAGGCATGCCATGCTATGTCTGAGGAGCCTGACCAAGTTTTAGAGCCTGGATCAAATATTCCTTTGCGCCTAAATAAAGCTTGCCAACCTCAGTCTCACAAGATTGACTATTTAAATTTGTGAATGGAAAGTTTATACAGAGATGATAGAGAGTTTACTGTTCTAGGCTAAATTAAGATTTTTAATGTGAATGCACATAAGGATTTGAAGATAAATTGCATTCCTCAGTGTTGATTTTTTTTTTTTTTGGAGGCATTTGTGGATTTATGAACCACTGAGGTTGACTGAAGGATTTCCTTTTTAGAGGAGCCTCAGAGGAGTCTGCTGAGCACTTAAAAGATTATTAAAGAAAGGAAATTTTAAAAACCTGTCTTCTGCATTGTAATCCAATATAAGATTGAAGTGGTGCCCCAGCAATGCAAAATGTTACTGCATTTCGAGGGTAATTTCAAAGCCTACAGTAATCCACCCTTGTTCCAGATTTCACTTTCTGCAATTTAAGTTACCCACGGTCAACTGTGGTCTGAAAATAGGTGAGTATATATAATACAATGAGGTATTTTAATAGACCACATTCATTACTTTTATTACTATATCTGCTTTATTAGTTACTGTTGTCTCTTACTGTGCCTAATTTATAAATTAAACTATCACAGGTTTGTATGTATATGAGAAAACTAGTATATGTAGAATTTAGGACTATCTGTGCTTTCGGGCATCCGCTGGGGGTTTTGGAACCTTTCCTCCATGGATAAGGGGAGGGGAGGGGTGTGTGTGTGTGTGTATGTGTGTGTGTGGTCAAGACAGGCGATCAAAGTATTCACACCACAAACTGAGCAATAAAACTATTTTAGAGTGGTTTTTCAATCACATGACTAGAGAAATGGATTAAAGGGGACCAGTAGGACAAATAGTAGCAAAGGTGGAAATTTCTGTCATCAATGTGAAGTACTCATGAGACTGAAAAAGCAGAGGCAGTAAAGTGATAGCATGGCTTGTCAGAGTGAGGACCAAAAAACATCTCCAAAATGACCACAGGAGAAATGAGAAATATATTTAGATATTTTAAATGCTTATGCAACAAAATTAAAAGAATAATTGTAAAAAGAATTGGTCATCAGACATGTCTAGTTCTTTTTTATTTTCTTCTCATCATTCTGACATGATTGACTTAAGAGGGGATGTTCATGTGGCCCATTTTACCCTAAGTGCTTTGCTGAGAAGGATGGGCAAGGCCTGCTGTGGAAACCAATGGAAACTGGGAACCATCCATTCAGGTTGTGTACTGAGTGCCTACTGCGTGCTAGGTTCTAGGTGAGATGTTTTGATACAGTAGAAAACATGAAACTTATCCAACAGACATAAAATGTAATTTAAGGTGGTGAGATGGGCTTTGAAGGAGAAGCAAGGAAGGTATATCGATTAATAAATTTCTGATAAAGTGCTTAGCCCTGTGCCTAGCACATAAACCCTTGATAAAGGGAAGCTAATAATTGGTAATGAGATTAAGGTCCTAGGAATGCATAGGGAGAGAGTGTCAATGGCACTGTGAGGAAGGCTGTATTAGGTTAGGAAGTAGCACATCCTGGGTGTAGCTTAGGCTGGAACATAATCAAGTGGTAAAACAAGAAATCAAATCACCTTAAAGTCATTTTGAAAACACCAGCTTTGTTCCTGAGATCTCTCTGAATCGACTCTGAATACTGTGATTCTGCAGCAAAGGACAATTGCACCTGTGGCTTTCCCAGAATACCTGAATGAGTGGTTTTGAGTCAGCCTTTCCTATCCAGTTTGGGTTTAGGATCAGAGCCCTGTGGTTGGCTCGCTGGGAGGATTCACACTCGTGCACTAGAAGGGTCTGGGCAAGGCTGATCCTAGCAGGGAAGGTGTGTGGTCCAGGCGTCCCCGTGAGAACTGTTACTCATTCCATCATCGCCTCTATTCCACCATCCACTCTGCTTTATATTGTCTCTTATTCTCCCTTTAAAGGTGAAAAAAGATACTATTTAGCAAAAATGCAGAAATTGACACTTTGAACTATAAAATCCTAATGAGTCATCCAATCAACTCAGATCAACCATCAAGGCAGAAAATGATTTTTAACTACATTAAGGATGATAATTTGTAATATGCATATGGAAAGAAAAGACCTCACTATACAAAATCATTTCCAAATGGGTCATAGTCCTAAATATGAAAAATATTAAATAAAATAATGCAGCTTCTACAAGAAAACAATCTTTTGGATTGATTTATTAGGAAATAAGCACTAACTATAAGAATAAAAACTGATGAACTGGATTTTGTTGCAATGAACTCTATTAAGTTACCATTGAGAGAGTGCAGAGGCAAGCCACGAAGTGGGAGAAATTGGTGATACATACTTCCAACAAAAGACCTCTCCAGAATGTGTAAAGAGCTATTACCAATCAATGAGAAAAAGATAACCAATACATTTGTTTGTTTAGAAATAGATTTGAATAGGCACTTCACAAATAACCAGATGGTTTGTGGGCATTTGATAGCCATATTTGCCAGATAGCCATATTTGTTCAATATCCATCATCAAGGGGATGTAATTTAAAAGCATCCTGGCAAGGTATTGTAAGTTGTCCTGAGGTTGCCTGGCACTGGCAAGTAGGATCATCTACTTTGCAAGAAATTGCCCTGCCTTTCTCCACAGTACAGGTGAAGCTTGGGGTGTGGGAGTCAGCGTGTACCAGTCTCAACGAGAGCCAACTGTTAAATTTTCACAAATTTTTGTGAGCTGGTTATTAAATACAGTAGCTATTTAGAATTATATACTTAACTATATTAAAAACAAAGTGCTTCCTGATTAGTACTGTTTATTATGGTGCTTTACTGATGTATATAGGATCTGTATGGGGGAAATGCTACACAATGCTTCTCTTCCCGACTCTGGGTTCGGTGGTGTCACACTGGTAGCCTGAAATTGACTATAGAGGGAGTATTTACACCACAAAAATTGGCAAATGCTGCAGAGTGGGGCTTTTGCTCCCCCTGGAGATTGTGTTGGGGCCTGGAGTTTTGTCTGAAGGTGAAACAGCTGGTCTGCTGGTGCCAAACATGCCCTTTATAACATTTGAAATGGTTATTAGAGGACACCATTGACACTGACAGACCTTCCTTTGTCCCCACCACGCCTGGCCCTGCTAC